GGGATGTAAACCCGAGTACAAAATATTGCACTTTTGATTAGCGATTGTACACTTATAAGTTTGTTTATATGTTTTTTCATAATCAGCAATGAATATTATATATCATGAATAAGTGATAATTGTGTTTTAATTATGTTTGATTTTTTGGTTGCATGTGACCTTTAAGATATTGTTTAACGCCCCAATCAGCAATATTCCAGCTAGATGGCGGCAGTCTGTAAATAATTGAGTCTGGACCAGACAATCCAGTGATCAACAGCAGAGCATCGATCTACGCAATTGGGATACGACGACATGTGTCAACCAAATCAGCGACTCTGACCACCCGAACCCCTTAGTCGCCTCTTACGACAAGCATGCTTTGCTAAAGATCAATTCTAACCCAGATCTTCATGGGATGGCAAGACCAATGACTAAGACTCGTAGGAATGAAGTACCCACCTGTGGGGCCAGAATTTTAACAGTCATCTCAATTTCCACTTTCACCCACCAGGCACATCACTGTTGGGCGAACCAATGTACATTTCGAACAATCACGTTCCTACAGAGACACCATATGTGCCACATGTGTGCTACATGTGCTTCAGTGAAGGGCAAGACCGAAAAACTAGACTCTCAGGAGTGAAGCAAAATGCCAAATCCCACGTGCAGTCTGTAATTACTGTTCAACTTTATAGCCATCCATTCCAAGGTCTAAAATTACATGTCTTGCTCATTACAGACTATGTTTACAGAAAACAGCAGTGTAGACATAGTACATCAATGACTAATAGCTATTATAAAAAAATCTGTTTTTCTTATACTTAACTAAAATCATTCACAACTGATGGAGCTCTGACAAGGGTTATACTCTGTATGGTCTTAATGATTGATCCTATGATATATGAAACAGTAACAATTGTCTTCCAACATCATGGGAATACGCTGCCCAACCATTACAATATTTTGTAGATTTCAGTAATTCATGAAAATTCACCCAGCAGTAAATGGGTACCTGGTGGGTTGAGATGGTCATGTGACTGTTACCTTCTACAACATCACAGGCAGGGTTGTCTGGGATAATAATACAACATGTTATATTTGAGATGACACTTTCTCAGTACAGTATCAATGTTCTTGTACTTTTGTCAGTAATCCAAAATGTAACATGTTGCATTTGACTACATACAAAATGGCATTGTGTATTCATAGCCTTCGGCCATGGGAGCTGTGCCAATTTACACTTGTCAGAGGGGTATACAAAGTCCATGATCTACACAACCAGTTGTCTGACATCCATACTAGTGGAAGCCATGATGGCTGGGTTGGCTAGATTGCTGACTTTGCGTGCTGGCGATTAGGTGCCTGACTTTTGAGAGTGTGGGCTCGAATCCTTGCTGGGACAAAACCTAACAAAAGTACTAGAATCGGTACTTTACTGAAAAAGTGTCATCCCAAACATAACATATGCTGCACTGACTGCTTCCTACATGGCATTGTGTATTCATGGGGTAATAATGTCTACACTTTCAGCATAACATTCAAGTATGGAAAATGTGCATTATAAATGGACTATTATTACTATTTCAGTTAATTCAGGAAATGTCTTGAAAATATGCGTACTTCCTGCCAGTAACATTATTTTATACCGAATTTCAAATAATTCTAAATATTTCCATTACATATATCTGTTAAACGTCTATTAAGGATCTATCAAGTTATTTGTTTAATCTATATCACACGAGGAAGCAATAAATTTCAGTGCTATCCTACAATAGAAAACTGACCTGAAAACGTTAAATCATGCAACTGCCACTCACCTCAAATATTGACCTGACAACTGTCTACCTGTCCCATATATACACTGTGTTTGTCTACAAGAAACAACATGGTGAGAGTGGGCAGCACAGAGATCATTCTGGTGATCTTGAATAGTAACTAACGGGGACAAAAGTGAATTCATAAATGAATTTCGGTCTAAGAGATAACAACCTTTGATAATTGGCCATATATAGAGCGCTAAACTCCACGCCGCAAGGACATGCTCAGATGGATGGACATTATTACCCTTTTATAACCCAAGCTACCTGTGGGGTGCTAGAAGGTTAATACTCATATGACTTATACCACTGGGTACCCATTTTCTGCTGGGTGAACAGAGGCCAACTGAACAAACTCACTTGCCTAAGGTGTGACGACATAGGTGCTTTGTTGTGGGGCAGGTCAGAGGTCCTAGAAACCTGCAGGAGTCAAGCTGCCAAACACGGTCACCCATCCAAAGACTCTCCGTGACAAACGTTGCTTAACTAATTTGTGACCTGGGCTCTATGCACAAGACCACACACCACCACCACAAACTTGAGTGAGTGAGTTTAGTTTTACGCCACACTCAGCAATATTCCAGCTATATGGCGGTGGTCTGTAAATAATCGAGTCTGAACCAGACAATCCAGGGATCAACAGCATGAACATCGATCTATGCAGTTGGGATACGATGACATGTGTCAACCCAGTCAGCGAGCCTGACCACCCGTTCCCGTTAGTCGCCTCTTACGACAAGCATGGGTTACTGAAGATCAATTCTAACCCAGACCTTCACTGGTGACCACAAACTTGAGGTGATGATGTGAAATCAAGGCCCTTCAGACCCGACAATTTCTGACCAATCCTCAGCTTGTGGACCATGTTGATCCAGTCATCAGGTCGGGTTTTTTTTACAGGAGCAGTGGGGTAGCTTAGTGGGTAAAGCATCCCTTGTCACACCAAAAACCTGGGTTCGATTTCCCACATGGGTACAATGTGTGAAGCCCATTTCTGGTGTTCCCCACCGTGATATTGCTGGAATATTGCTACAAGCGGCGTAAAACTAAACTCACTCACTCACCTTGTTTTTGCACTATGACCTCACCAAGATTAACTATTTGTATAATGAATGTATTATTCAATCAGATAAGGACAAACTTCAAGGATGAACAACTTAATTATTCAGGTGATATGACGTTTCGAGAATCATTGTCAAGAACCTGAATCACCTGAATAAAGAAATTTTTCAACAATAAAATTTGTCTTATCTGACTCTCCAACCTCTAAAAATGCCACTCAAAGATGTTATTTTTCAATCAGTAAATCAGCTAACCATGTATATCTTTCCATCCTAATAAGCCCTACAAGCAGAGGACAGTAAAGTGAGACATTGACTGCGACCTTGAAGTTCAAATACCTCTGTAGGCATGCATCTCGCGTATGACCTGTCAGAGTTTATCACGCTTATCATCTCCACTTCTTTGGAGAAAGGGTGGATGTTATGTTATCGAGGACATTCCTCACAGCTATAATCTAGTCAGGTTGATAACAAATATTATACTCATAATTTCAATCAGTAAGCAAGCACTGGCAATCGTTTTCTTGCTGTACAGCTAAACCTGACCTATATTTACAGAGGTACTAGTGGTAGTGAGGGAGGGAGTATGGTGTTTCCTCCAGGATCCAAAAAGGGCTAGAGAGACAGAATTTCAAAAGGGGCACCCTATTCCAAAATGGGCATGCAAAGACAGATTTCCAAGTATTATGTTAAGTTATTCATGTATGTGATTCTTAAAGGCTCAAGGGTAAATATATTTCACTTAACTTCAACATGAAATAGAAACTAAAAACAACCAAATAATTATAGTATTAAATGAGTGAGTGAGTGAGTTTTACACCGCACTCAGCAATATTCCAGCTATATGGCGGTATAGTATTAAAAGAAAGGGGGGGAGGGGTCAAATAAAAAGGGCAAGGTGTTGCACCCTGCTAAAAATGCCTCGGGGAAACACTATTAATGTCTCTTTGAACAATATTTCAGTAATACCATGACTGATGTGGAAGAAAAGACGGAGATGTTTACCCTCAAGACAAATCTAGGATTGTTAATGTTTGGCTAGCCTAAGGGATACAACTTAGTAAAATGCACTATTTGAGTCAAAAAGTCTGTTCACGCCGAAATGACGAAGAGAAACTATATGCTAATCCTATTTACATTTTCCAAGTCTGTTTGAATGTAAAAGCTCATAATGTTATTTCTGGAATATTGCCGACTTTGTTCAAGTTCAAGTTCCCTTTAGAAAAGATAGACTATTATTCTCTTTGGAAAAGATACAATATTCTTCGAAAACCATATATTGTGAGTGAGTTTAGTTTTACGCCGCTTTCTACAGCAATATTCCAGCAATAACACGGCACAGGACACTTGAAATGTGCTTCAAACATTGTGCCTCTGTGGGAATCGAACCTGGGCCTTCAGCGTGAGGAGCGAACGCTTTAATCATAAGGCTACCCCACTGCCCCTGAATATAATATACAGACACGTTAAATTGTTGATTTAATAATTAACTCCAGGGCAGTACTCAGATAAGAATACATACTTGGAGTTTTATAATACAGTGGAAGCTGTCTAAACCGGCATGTGTCGGGACTGAAGAAATAATCCAGTTTAGACAGCGTGCCAGATTGTAGAGCTGACACAGTTACCTACGACTAGAACTGAACCAGGAGATAGATTTGTATCTGACTTTAAATGCCTGAATCATACCTTGGTCAAGAGGTTGTAACATGGACGTGGCGTTTCCGGGGGCGTGGCTTTGACCGTTATCCATAAACAACAAGATCTTTCGTCTGAAAAGCTCACTAAGTACAAGTATACCCATACTGAACTATGAATAAATTATCTTTGTTGGCAACCATGTAGTTTTTTCAACGGAGGATTAAGTGGTGACTCCTCGCCACGCGCCGGATTAGACAGCACTGATTAATGTATAAACACATATTCGGGCAGCTCATTTCATGGCGAGATCTGGAATTGACAGCTGCCGGATTGCAGAGCTTTTATATGATGATAAATGTACTAGCCACGGGTATGATTGAGATTTTATGCCGGTGTTGGCCGGATTGGACAGCTGCCAGTTTTGACAGCTTCCACTGTACCTTCAAAGATGAGTGCTTATAAAATACCTGAAGTCCTGAACAAGCTCACTGGCAAAGAATGTGTTTGATAAAATGATTTATTTTCATTTAGTATACATATGTTCATCTGAAATTAAAATAGTACCAGCCAATCATTCATCATAAGAAAAAGAATAAGAACTGTTGCCAAATCAACCAATCAAAATTATGCAAAATAGGACGTGAGCCAATCAAACGGAGATCTATGAAACAACAAGTAACAGAACATCAACAGAAGTCACTAACTACCATTGTCAATCAAGACAAAGAACATCAACTGGGGCTGGAGGCTAAACAGCATGGACCAATCAGCTTTCAGATATTTCTGAGACTTGCATGACAGCAGCCAATCAAGACAAAGAACATCAACTGGGGCTGGATGCTGAACAGCATGGACCAATCAGCTTTCAGATATTTCTGAGACTTGCATGACAGCAGCCAATCAAGACAAAGAACATCAACTGGGGCTGGAGGCTGAACAGCATGGACCAATCAGCTTTCAGATATTTCTGAGACTTGCATGACAGCAGCCAACAGTTTCTCATACTCCTCCAGATAGTTGGAAAAGATTGTATATCATTCTCTTTGGAAAAGATTGTATATTATCCTCTTTGGAAAAGACAGAATATTATTCTCTTTGGAAAAGACAGAATATTATTCTCTTTGGAAAAGATAGAATATTATTCTCTTTGGAAAAGAGAGAATAATATTCTCTATGGAAAAGATAGAATATTATTCTTTTTAGAAAAGACAGAATAATATTCTCTATGGAAAAGATAGAATATTATTCTTTTTAGAAAAGACAGAATATTATTCTCTTTGGAAAAGATAGAATATTATTCCCTTTGGAAAAGACAGAATATTATTTGAATATCGTCTACAATTTCTGCAGGCCATGTTTTATCTATAAACATGTTAAATTGTTTATTTTATAATTTAACTTTAGGGCAGTACTTAGATGAGAATAAATATTTGGAGTATTATAACACTTTCAAAGGTGAGCGTTTTTATATACATGAAAGACTTGAAAATGCTCACTGGCAAAGAATGTGCTCTCGTATAAAAGGATCTAGTTTCATTTTGTATGCATATGTATATCACCAAATCAACCAAACTATATTATGCAACATGGTATGTGAGCCAATCAAACGGAGATCTATGAAACAACAAGTAACAGGGCATCAACAGAAGTCACTAACTACCATTGTCAATCAAGACAAAGAACATCAACTGGGGCTAGAGGCTGAACAGCATGGACCAATCAGCTTTCAGATATTTCTGAGACTTGCATGACAGCAGCCAATCAAGACAAAGAACATCAACTGGGGCTAGAGGCTGAAAAGCATGGACCAATCAGCTTTCAGATATTTCTGAGACTTGCATGACAGCAGCCGCGAGTTTCTCATACTCCTGCTGATAGTTGTAGACGTGTGCAGATATCCTCACGTACAGACGGCCTTGGATTGCCTTGATTGGCACCTGAAAATCACACATTTAAAGGTTTGGAAAGGGATCAAGACACCATATGATATATGTTGTGTACTAGAATAGCCAATCTATGTTGAATGTAGTTAAAGACTCCAATTTTACCAGAATACTCAGTAAGTTGTAGTTAAGCATAGAGTGAGTGAGTGAATATTCCAGCTATATGGCGGCGATTAAAGCATAGATGTGATCTACAACCTATGTCTGAGATGTGTTCTGCAACCTATGTCTGAGATGTGTTCTACAACCTATGTCTGAGATGTGTTCTACAACCTATGTCTGAGATGTGTTCTACAACCTATGTCTGAGATGTGTTCTACAACCTATGTCTGAATTGTGTTCTACAAGCTATGTCTGAATTGTGTTCTCCAACCAACCCCAATGTTGTGTGTTCTACAACCTATATCTGAGATGTGTTGTACCACCTATGTCTGAGATGTGTTCTACAACCTATGTCTGAGATGTGTTCTACAACCTATGTCTGAGATGTGTTCTACAACCTATGTCTGAGATGTGTTCTACAACCTATGTCTGAGATGTGTTCTACAACCTATGTCTGAGATGTGTTCTAGAACCTATGTCTGAGATGTGTTTTACAAGCTATGTCTGAGATGTGTTCTCAATCTATGTCTGAGAACAAGCTATGTCTGAGATGTGTTCTACAACCTATGTCTGAGATGTGTTCTCACAACCTATGTCTCAGTTGTGTTCTACAAGCTATGTCTGAATTGTGTTCTCCAACCAACCCCAATGTTGTGTTCTACAACCGATGTCTGAAATCTGTTCTACAACCTACCTCTATGTGATGTTTATGGAAGAGTATGTTCTGCACACGCTCTGCATGACTGTATGTAAGACTGTCACAATTCTTGAAGATCTGCAGATCAGGTAACTGTATGAGGGCCATAGAACCTATGAGAGATAGCAAGACATGGAATCAGGCATATATAAGGGAAACAACCAGAAGAGGCTACAGTGGCTCACCATTTTTCAGTATTGCGGGTGTGGTTAAAAAACAGATTTTGTCCAAAACTATAGTCTGTTTGGCTGAAAATTGGACCGATGAATTGCAATCTAACTCGAAAACTAATAAACATATAATACTCAATGAAACGCTGATCATAATAAAAAATGTCGGACCAACTCTGTGAGGTTTTGGCAGAATTTATATCCTAAAAATAAAAAAATTGTTTAACAAACTATCATTAAAATTTTGACACAGTTCACTATTTCTTACTGGGGAGAAGTGCAGAGAAAGGGACAGCCAGGTGTGCGAGAAAGGATGGAGACGGCACAGCACAGGTTAATGAATCAATAACTTGGTGGGCACTTGTGCACGTGCTTCTCTAACACCTGGCTGTCCCTTTCTCTGCACTCCTCCCTCGTAACAAATAGTGAACTGTGTCAAAATTTTAATGATAGTTTGTTAAACAACTTTTTTAATTTTAGGACATAAATTCTGCAAACAAACCACAGAGTTGGTCTGATGTTTTGATTATGATCAGCGTTTCATTGAGTATTATATGTTTATTAGTTTTTGAGTTACATTGCAATTCATCGGTCCGCTTTTGAACCAAACGGACTATAACACAGTCAAATATTGGATAAGAAACCATAATAATTCTTTGAGATTATTGTCATATCCTGTATGTTTCTTATTTCTGTTTATTTTTCTTCATAAGTACTGATTGCAATATTTGGGTTATTTGTAATTTAAATAAAATATTTCATTATTTAGGTTAGACAAAGACCTTGGACAGATTTCTGTCAAATTCTAATCAACTACATGTATAGATGTCACTACGTGATCTTGTATGAGAAAATTCGAATACAAAGACACATTTCATATCAAGATGTTCTATGTGTTCTCCCAACCAAACTATCTGTAAAATAAAGGTCTTGTCAAATCGTTATAAAACCATTTAAATCTTTTAGTTGTGTAACCCTTTAAATCCCATTTAAAAAAATGTCGTAACCTCACCAAACATAGAGAGAGGAGCTGCAAGCCCTGTCCCCCAGGTTTCCGTCAGCAGGTTAGCTGCAACAATAGCAGATACTCAAAGATGTAGGGAGGAGTTGATGTACAACTGTCAATAAAGACCAGTTCCAACTGACAGAGAATTAAGCTGGAACAAAATCTCCTGTAAAGTGATGCTTGTGAGCATTTCCCTCAAGAAAATTGTACAATATTTTCACTACAGATACATATACTCTTTGATTTTTCAGCATGGCTATTTGCCAGTATGTAATGATCTTTGATTATCAAATGGATCATATCTCCATTCTGTCATGATCTTTGATTATTAAGTGTATCACATTGTATCAAGGTATCAATAATTGTGGAATCTTTGATTATCCAGAATATCGTATCTCCATAACATAATAGCATAAATGTACCTGCATCTGTGACAGTGTATCCACATCTGTGACAGTGTATCTATATCTGTGACAGTGTATCCACATCTGTGACAGTGTATCTATATCTGTGACAGTGTATCCACATCTGTGACAGTGTATCCACATCTGTGACAGTGTATCCACATCTGTGACAGTGTATCTATATCTGTGACAGTGTATCCTCGTCTGTGACAGTGTATCTATATCTGTGACAGTGTATCCACATCTGTGACAGTGTATCCACATCTGTGACAGTGTATCCATCTGTGACAGTGTATCCACATCTGTGACAGTGTATCCACATCTGTGACAGTGTATCCACATCTGTGACAGTGTATCTACATCTGTGACAGTGTATCTATATCTGTGACAGTGTATCCATATCTGTGACAGTGTATCTATATCTGTGACAGTGTATCTATATCTGTGACAGTGTATCTATATCTGTGACAGTGTATCCACATCTGTGACAGTGTATCTATATCTGTGACAGTGTATCACATCTATGACATCTGTGACAGTGTATCCATATCTGTGACAGTGTATCCACATCTGTGACAGTGTATCCACATCTGTGACAGTGTATCCACATCTGTGACAGTGTATCCACATCTGTGACAGTGTATCCACATCTGTGACAGTGTATCCATATCTGTGACAGTGTATCCACATCTGTGACAGTGTATCCACATCTGTGACAGTGTATCCATCTGTGACAGTGTATCCTCGTCTGTGACAGTGTATCTATATCTGTGACAGTGTATCCACATCTGTGACAGTGTATCCACATCTGTGACAATGTATCCACATCTGTGACAGTGTATCTATATCTGTGACAGTGTATCCACATCTGTGACAGTGTATCTATATCTGTGACAGTGTATCCATGTCTGTGACAGTGTATCCACGTCTGTGACAGTGTATCCACATCTGTGACAGTGTATCTATATCCACATCTGTGACAGTGTATCTATATCTGTGACAGTGTATCTATATCTGTGACAGTGTATCCACATCTGTGACAGTGTATCTATATCTGTGACAGTGTATCCACATCTGTGACAGTGTATCTATATCTGTGACAGTGTATCCACATCTGTGACAGTGTATCTATATCTGTGACAGTGTATCTATATCTGTGACAGTGTATCTGTGACAGTGTGTCCATATGTGACAGTGTATCCACATCTGTGACAGTGTATCTATATCTGTGACAGTGTATCCATATCTGTGACAGTGTATCCACATCTGTGACAGTGTATCCACGTCTGTGACAGTGTATCCACATCTGTGACAGTGTATCTATATCTGTGACAGTGTATCCATATGTGACAGTGTATCCACATCTGTGACAGTGTATCTATATCTGTGACAGTGTATCCATATGTGACAGTGTATCCACATCTGTGACAGTGTATCTATATCTGTGACAGTGTATCTATATCTGTGACAGTGTATCCATATGTGACAGTGTATCCACATGTGTGACAGTGTATCCACATCTGTGACAGTGTATCCACATGTGTGACAGTGTATCCACATCTGTGACAGTGTATCTATATCTGTGACAGTGTATCCACATCTGTGACAGTGTATCCACATCTGTGACAGTGTATCTATATCTGTGACAGTGTATCCACATCTGTGACAGTGTATCCACATCTGTGACAGTGTATCCACATCTGTGACAGTGTATCTATATCTGTGACAGTGTATCCACATCTGTGACAGTGTATCTACATCTGTGACAGTGTATCTATATCTGTGACAGTGTATCCACATATGTGACAGTGTATCCACATCTGTGACAGTGTATCCACATCTGTGACAGTGTATCCATGTCTGTGACAGTGTATCCATGTCTGTGACAGTGTATCCACATCTGTGACAGTGTATCCACATCTGTGACAGTGTATCCACATCTGTGACAGTGTATCCACATCTGTGACAGTGTATCCACATATGTGACAGTGTATCCACATCTGTGACAGTGTATCCACATCTGTGACAGTGTATCTATATCTGTGACAGTGTATCTATATCTGTGACAGTGTATCCACATCTGTGACAGTGTATCTATATCTGACAGTGTATCCACATCTGTGACAGTGTATCCACATCTGTGACAGTGTATCTATATCTGTGACAGTGTATCCACATCTGTGACAGTGTATCTATATCTGTGACAGTGTATCCACATCTGTGACAGTGTATCTATATCTGTGACAGTGTATCTATATCTGTGACAGTGTATCCACATCTGTGACAGTGTCCACCTACCTGCATGTGTGATCAGCTCATACATGTAGTTTTGTATTCTGTCCTCACCCACAGTCTCCCAGAAGTCCAGCAGGGTGTGTAGAGACAGGAACGGGCTGTAATCATGCAACCCTAAAAAAACAACACAACCTTCACAGTGATCTGATTAGCAAGTCAGCCTCTTGTACAATCCCTGACTGACGCGTACAGGTTTAACTTGCCATCTCAAATACACTATCCTTGATAAACTTGTCACATGAGTGAGTGAGTTGGGTTTTACATTGCTTTTAGCAATATTCCAGCAGTATCACAGTGGGGGACACATTTTACCCTTCGTCTTCTGCGAGGAATCCAACCCCGTCTTCGTGACGTGCAGACCAGGGGTGGAAATAACTTTAAAATTACTACTGTACTCCGGTACAGTGGCACATGTAAAATCACTTGCCCTGATCATTTTTTCAATATACCGGCCGGTTTCTTGTTGATTTTTTAAATAAACAACATTATTAACATTGGAAAGTCAACTGGACACCGGTACAGCGTAATATACAAATTTGCTTGCCCGACAGAAAAAACCACTGGACTCGGACGTCGGGCAAGGGGTTATTTCCTCCTCTGCAGACACTTTAATCATAAAGATACCCCACCGCCCAGTGACACCAGAAATTGGCTTCACTTATTGTACCCATCTTGGGAATCGAACCTGGGTCTTCGGCAAGAAGCAAAAACGCTTAACTACTGGGCTAAAACCGTCCCTGTGTTATATGAACTCGTACCGAATATTTAACTGAGAGTTAATGTACAATTAATTCTGTACACCCCAACTTATGACACATTTGTCTGCTTGTTCCTTTTATTAATTGCATGTAGAAGTTTGTCTGACGAACAAGGTACATAACTCTATCGATATGTAACTTCTTCATTACAATGCAACGTGCAACGTTTAGATACTAACACTGTTATCATGAAACAAGTCATAATATTGTAAATATCTACACTGAAATGCTGTATTGACCATTATAAAGAAGTTGTATGTCCACAGTATAATCTCCACTGTTTGTTGTTCAACTACCCGAGAAGATGCGGGTTGGGATTTGTCTTCAGCAACCCATGCTTGTTGTAAGAGGGACTAAAGGGATCAGGATAATTTGGATAAGATGACATGTATCAACCAAATCAGTGAGTCTGGTCATCCAAACCCGCAAATCTACGAGAACAACAAGCCTGGGCCCCGTTCCTCAAAGCGATCGTAGCGCTAAGACGATCGTAACTCCCATACTTTAACATAGACTTACGGCAGTCGTAGCGCTATGATCGCTTTGTGAAACGGGGCCCTGGGTTGCTGAACACCTGGATCTTAAGGGGCTCTGTTACATGTCACATGTTGGTTGGTTGGCTTGTTGGCCAACGCCGCACTCAGCAATATTTCAGCTCAGTGACAGCGGTCTGTAATAATCAAGCCTGGATCAGACAATGTAGTGATCAACAGCATGAGCATCGATCTACACAATTGGGATACTATGACATGTGTCAACCAAGTCGGTGAGCCTGACCACCCGATTCCATTAGTCGCCTCTTACAATAAGCATGGGTTACTGAAGACCAATTTTAACCCGGATCTTCACGGGTAAAGTCATTGTTAACCTTCTGTGACAACATCCCATCGTTCTGCGATGAGTTAAATCTAACCATCACGTTTGTACAACTGATTGACTGAGTTTGGTTTTACGCCGCTTTTAGCAATATTCCAGCAACATCACCGCGGGGGACACCAGAAATGGGCTTCACATATTGTGCCCATGTGGGGATTCGAACGCGGGTCTTCGGCGTGACGAGACAACGCTTTAACCATTAGGCTACCCCACAGCCCAACACATTTGTACAAGATCTGAGGGATGTACAAAATCTCCAACACCCTGAGTATATTATCTTCTCATTATATCTTTGAAAAGTAGTCATACTGCTGGGATCTAAGCATGACATGCAGCTATTTCTTCTCAGTTCTCCTCAACATCTTTTGTTACAGCTTGTGTTATAAATTATTATTGGCTGTGTGTGATAAAACATGTTCAATTCTAAATTGATGCTGAACTGAAATATGCAATCGTGACTGAAAGATTTCTTTACATACCATAAAGAATTTGAGGATATTAACGTATGAAACAGTAGATCTGCTTGTCCTCATACTGCAATGTTTCAATTTCACACTGTTACAGTCAGTTTCCAGCTGGGTGGGTGAGTTGTGTTTGAACCTGTTTTGATGAGTATTTCTAATATAGTATGGTGTGTCAGGTAAATGTTGAATGACAGTCAAATAGACGAAGATCCATTTATCACTTTTGTAAAACCCACAGGCATAGATGAGGTGGATAATGGTGAGTCAAAGAGCTTACAGCCAAAGGGAGATAACTCTAAATACTGGAAGTAACAGAGAAAGTAAACCACTGTAACAAGTTGGGGAATTATCATGTTGCTAAGTAAATGGTTTAAAGTAAGTAGAAGTCTGGATCTTGGATAAACAATTCCTGCTGTACGAACTCAATCTTTTGCTGACATGATTAATAGATGTAACTCTGCACAGACTTTGTCCATTTGGCCAACCATGTCCTACAACACCAAGCTGGAAATGAGAACATGGCAGATACTGCTTGAAGTGCAATAAAATCTTCCATGTTAGTGGACTATGCTAGAAGTGATGTTGGTTGGCAAGTTGGTTGGTGAGCTGGTTGTCAGGGGGTGTTATTCAGGTGAGCTGGTTGTCAGGGGGTGTTATTCAGCTTCACTTGGTTCAAGTAATACACCAGAAATGGACTTCACACAATATTGAATTGGGGGTACTGAAACCAGAGCCCGATTTCTCAAAACAAACTTACTTTTTATTCAAATTTTAAACTGACTTTGACAAGCTGAAACAGCTGAATTTTTAACTCAAACTGCTTTTCTAAAATCAAAAAACCCATAACAACTTAAGTAATCTATCTATCAAACTAAAATTGTCAGCTATGTTTGAAATTAATATCGACTTCAATTCATTTTGTGAGATGCATTTTCCTGCGTTTTCTTAAATTTGAGTAAAAACTCTAACTTAAGTCAAAACTCAGACTTAAGTGTGTTAGAAGAAATCAAGCCAGGTCTTTGATGTGCCAGCAGCATAAAAATATGGTTATATTACAATCCCTGACACTTCTGTTTGCTATATTTTGGGGTTCAAATCAACGTTCAGCAACATTCCAGGTGTATAACAGCAGTTTGTCAATAATCAATTCTGGACTAGACAATCCAGTGATTGACATCATGAGCATCTGTCCACACAATCAATGGCAGGCCATCAACCATGCAGCTTAGTAGGAAGTGTTTAGTTGCCTCTCATGACAAGCATAAGCTGCTGCAGACCTAAGCCGTCACCAGTAATCCTAATGCAGAGATGCCAACCCTGAACCTAAGGAAAACGGAGTCATGACTAGCTGAAAGCCAGGCCTGAGCACCAAAGATGCGAGTTGGGGGTGAGCGTGTGGTCGGCGCTGCCATTTTGTTTAACTTTCATATGGACTATGACATGCATTCGGAAAAACTTTGTGAAACTTCATCGTCAATAACACGCAATATACACAATCGACACCCAAAGGATCACATGTTAAGCTTCTGAATGCTTTCACCAGTGTTCACTCAAATAAATCACCACTGACTTACGAAATTGCATACCGTAAAAATAAATTCAGAATTTTTTCTAAAAATTTGGAGAGCAGATTTGGTATTTGAAAATCAGAGTTTCTCCGCCAAAATCGCAGTGGTTGGCATCTCTGCTAATGGGTACCATTGATACTGATGAGGATGAAGATGACATGGAACTAGGCGACACCCTCATTTTCGTCATGACCATACCTGCCCATATGAACTCAGAGTTGAACCCAGACCCAAATCCGTGTGAGATGACAAGGGGCCTGGTAGATTCCTGGTAGTTTCTGGCAACATAGAGGAAGGCTGCCCCCTTGGGACTACAGAACCACTTGTGGGCGTTGGAGACATAGAAGTCAGCCTGGAGGGACCGGAGACTGAGAGGGATGGAGCCCAGAGCATGAGCGCCATCTACCAGCACCGGAACATTTCTGTAACAGAACACACTCCAATGTGATAAACTCTAGATGAATCTGGTGTATATGTGAGTGAGTGAGTGAGTGTGGGTTTTGAGTGGAGTGAGTGAGTGAGTGTGGGTTTGTGAGTGAGTGAGGGTAGGTTTAAGAGTGAGTGAGTGAGGTGAGTTTGTTTCGTGGAGTGAGGCGGGTTTGTGGGTGAGTGAGTGGGTTTGTGGGTGAGTGAGTGAGTGAGGCGGGTTTGTGGATGAATGAGTGAGTGAGGGTGGGTTTGTGTGAGTGAGTGAGGAGTGAGAGAGAGAGGGTGGGTTTGTGAGTGAGTGCATATGGTTTTACGTCGCATTAGCAATATTCCAGCAATATCATGTCATCAAGTTGATGGAGGAACTGAACATGGCTTTTAGGTGTGACAAGCAAATGCTCTAACCACTAAACATCTAAACATAAAAAACATTGATTACAGGAAGACACTAATAAACCTTCCCGATGTAACTATCTGTAGACTCTATTCACCCACCTCTGGTGACAGATCTGTATGATGTCTGCCAGCGGGGTGATGTACGGTGTGTTACTTGGGATGTGGTCAAATATAGCCAACTTTGTCTTGCTCCCATCTAAGTTATCCTTTACCAAGTCAATCAGCTGAAATCAATATAACATAAGTAATCATTTCAAGGTATATTGATAAACGCGTATCTTAAAATATCTCCACTATTGAAAAGTCTTCAACAGTAAATATTACATGAAATATTGTATGAGTTTCAAGATCTGCTCTCTATATGAACACTACCACCATCTCCAACCTAAGAAAACTGAAATAAACTTCCCAAACAATCTAAAGGCACAGTTCACCAAGACCACTTGACCTATCTGTGAGCCAGGTTTGATCAAGAAATATCTCTATATATTGTAATGTTACCTGCTGGGGTCCAGTTAGAGGGAAAGTGACCTCGACCTCTGACACCACAGCTCCTGTGTCCACACATACTTGCCGCATCAGCTTTTTCACAGCTCCTAAAGAGATTGGAGATAAAGTATGCTGAGGTGCAGAAAAAAGGAACACATTCAAAAGGTATTGATTGATTGATTGATTGATTGATTGGTGGGTGGATGGATGGATGGATGGATGGATGGATGGATGGATAGATAGATAGAAATGTTGAAAGTATGTTGCCTTATTTTAACAGGGTTAGTGATTCTTTTTCTCCTTCTTTGTAAGTGGGTGTGTGGGTGTGCGAGTGAGTTGATCAGGATCACAGTCATTAATGATCAAGCACTATCAAACTGGCCTGTGAATAGTCAAGCCCAAACCAAATATACAAGTGACTGAAAACAGCAATATTCCAGCAATATCATGGCAGGGGACTCTAGAATGGGCTTAAAACACATTGTACCCATGTGGGGAATCGAACCTGGGTCTTTGGGATGATGTGTGAACACTTTGAACCACTCGGCTACCACTGAGACACAATCAATTACAGAGTCTGACTGCTTGATCATCGTTGACATTTATGACAAGTGTGAATTACTGAAAACCTAGAATTAGTAACAGGCATTGTACACTGCCTCACCGTAGGTGTTGGAGAACATAAAGATGACGTCGCCAGGTTTGAAGTCGAAGCTTCTGATCACACTGTTGATGCCGGTCGTAGCGTTCGTCATCAACACCATGTCTCTTGGGTCACAATCTAGGCAAAAGTCAGTTCCATGAGCAAAAGTTTCTGTATGAACGCTCCTTGTGAATAAGAAACATACATATATAGTATGACCAGAAATTATTAAGAATTTTAGGAATATGTTTAATAGGATTTCTAGTATAAACAACCGTGACCAGCTATCAAGTGCTTGGTTTCAGTCAAGAGAGACAACTCCGTTAATCCTTTTTCATTAGTTTGTGAAGAGTTATTCCCCTTTGTTTACTAGCTAGCAGATGACATTTTCAGTGATCCTCAGTATGGATTATTTAGAGAAGAGGAATTTGATTTTAGAGTATTATAACAAGGACATCAGATCAGCTAAAGTGATTTCAAGTAGAACAGGCATCCCTTTGTCCACTGTTTATCGTGTTTTGAAAAATATTGCAAATGGATATGGCATTGAGCACCAGGGAGGCGTAAGTAGGCCCAGAAAATTGACTGTCAGTGACAGGAGGCGGCTTGGTATTCTTGTTTCTAAAAACAAACAAAGGAGTTTAGAAAACTTAAGGCTGGATATGATTGAGAGAGGAACTGTGGCTGTCTTTTAATTACAATTAGAACTGAGCTGCATGCAATGGGTTGGCAGAAAAGTCGAGGAATTCCATCACCGATCATGAAACCTGAACAAAAGGAGCGAAGGTTGAACTGGTGCTTACAACATAGAAATTATAAACTGGGACGATGTGATTTTCTCAGATGAAAGTTCTGTGTGGCTGTTTCCTAATACACTGAAATTCTGGACCAAACAAACTGAAAAACCTTTGTATCAGCGCCCAAAGTACAGTCCGAAATTTAACGTGTGGGGTGGAATATCTGAGTTAGGGGCAACGCCCCTCTGTGTATTTGAAGGGAATATGAACAGTGAGCGGTACACAGATATTCTCGAGGGACATTTACTTCCATCTGCTCACGTGTTCTATGGAAATCTTTCGTTTTCCAGCAGGACAACGACCCAAAACATCGTTCAAAGCATTCACAGGCCTGGTTTCGGACCCAAAATAGGACATTATTAGATTGGCCAAGCTATAGCCCTGACCTAAATCCAATAGAAAATGTTTGGGGACTTATGAAGGAAAGTGTCAATAAGAAAAATCTGACAAATATTGCTGAAATGAAAGAAGAGGTGGTCCAATATTGGGACAGCATGGACCACGACTTTCTAACTTCTTTGATCAGTAGTGTGCCCCGGCGCATTGAAGCCTACATTGCTGCCCATAGTGACTTGACAAAATACTAACTGTTCACCTGTCTTTGAATCTGGAGTTATGTTCTGCTAATATTCACATTTAATACGTGAGTAATGAGTGCAAAAATAAAAAAATACAATCTTTAAATTCTTAATAATATCTGGTTGTACTGTACTTAAATCACCAATGTGAAACAATTCATTCAAACAAATGTCTTGTTTTCTTTTCTGCACTTCTAGGCTCCAGATTTGGAAATCGTGACAGAAATGATTGTTAGATTGTCATTCTAGTAGTTGGTAAGTCAATAATGAAGCATACGACTTTATGGATGACAACTTCTTGAAGGAGATGGAGAGCCAGTGAAATGGGTTAACACGTTTAATACTGACCAACAAACTTGGCTAGCCTTCTTGTGACGTACACAAGGTGAGGTAGCAGCTCTCTGTCGTAGAAGCTCAGTGGCTGGGACTCTGCATAGTTTTGCCAGTCCTGGAGGGAAAAAACACACATCTCAGACAGCCGATACTCTACAGACAACCACAATGTTTTCTGAAGTACTAGTAGACCCTACATACTAAACTTCTGAACTTGGCTAGAAAATAACACACAGATCAGACAGCCGACACTCTACAGACAACCATGATGTGTTCTGAGGTGAGGTGAGGTGAGGTGAGGTGAGGTGAGGTGAGGTGAAATTGGGTTTAACGTCGTTCTTGAGCATATTTCGCTCATATGACGACATGCATGTGTGTGTATGTGTATGTGCGGCTGCTTGTACTAGCCCAGACTGAAGCTGGTTTTATAGTGCTAGCCCACTGAGATACCATGCCGCAGTGAAGCATGAATACCCCACTCAGACACATTATACTGACTCCAAGCCGACCAGTCCTTGATGTACCCATTAATGCCGAGCGCCAGGCAGGGACCAACAAGTACCATATTTTAACGCCTTTTGGTATGACGCGGTCGGGGATCGAACCCGCGACCTTCTGCTCTCCGGGCGGACGCTCTAACCACACCACGGAGGCGGTCGATGTGTTCTGAAGTACTAGTAGACCCTACATACAAAACTTCTGAACATAACATATCAATGTAACCATAGGGATAGTCTTACAAATGACCTGACAGTAACAAAAACTCAGGTAACTGAAAAACATGTACTCATTATATACTACTCATAAGAAACTTAGATCACCATGACAGATAAACCACACTAAAATACTACCGTACTCAAAAGTAGTTATTGAGGATAAGGTGTTCGTTCTATTTTTTTGTGTAGTCTTTTTGATGAAGATGCTGCACTGCTTATCAGCGCAGGATTGGGATGAGATTGGGACAAATTTAGGCCATGTGTTAGTTGAGGTCTTCCAACATTTAGACATGACTCAAACACTTTCTCATAGCCTAAGTAAACAAATTGCAATGGTTAAAACAATGCTAATGTCTAAAAAAATGCTGCAAAACGTATGCACTGTCATGTATTTTCACACACCTCCCAGGCTTGTTTGTCGTTCTAAATGCTGCACTCAGAAATATTCCATCCACATGACAGCAGACAATCAAGTGATGATTATTATGAGTATAGGTCCACACTGTCGGGATAGGATGGCGTGCAGTCTACACTGCCAGACCACCTAATCTTTACAGTTCACTAAGGCCATGAAGATCCGGATTAGAATTGATCTCCAGTAATCCATGCATTTTGTAAGAGGTGACTGACAGTATTGGATGGTCAGGCTCGGTGACTGGGTTGACACATGTCATTGGTTCTCAAATGCGCAGATCAATGCTCATGCTGTTGATCACTGGATTGTCTGGTCATGACTCGATTATTTACAGAACACCGCCATATAGCTGAAATATTGCTGAGTGCTGTGTAAAACTTAACTAAACTCACTCACTCACAGTTCACCAAAAAAAGATCTGTTTACCTGGGTGGCACCTAAGGCCTCTTTCAACACACATCCAAAAGCACCATGATTCAGGAATGTGCAGGTTTCCTAAAAGAAATATTCATTCATAAGATAAGTTACAAACAATCTAAGAACAAGTCTCAACAACATGTTCCATTGTAGAATGATTGATATATAAGGAATGAACGACAAACAAACAGACTGTCCGATACACATTGCTAGAAAACCTAATTCCATGTAAGATTATATATGTCTTATCGTTCTTTGATGAAGACAATAATTTGGACATGTCCTGAAACATTCCATGCAATTTGTTCTACAGAATTGTCTCCCTTAGGCTCACCAGGATCCGATGATCATGAGAATGAATTTGCTCTGATAATGATGCTTGGTTTGTCACAACCATGCCCCATATTCCTTGGTTTCTCCAAAGAGGGAAAAATCCAAAATCTGGAATTTCATAGGGATTTTCTTCCACATTAATCTAACATGTTTTGAAATAACTTAATTATTGTTCAATAAACTTCAAACCCAACTCTTTCATTCCTAATTCTCTCCATCAAGGATACCAATAAAATCTATCTAAATCTGAGTTCCAAATTAAAACACGAAGTATCTGCTCTACAGAGAGACTACATCAAACTGCTAACTATGATGGATACACTTCTTAATTCACAGCTTCCTATGAGCAAAGGTACACATATTTGGAGGTACATGATTCAGGAAAATATGTATTCTTTAATACATATTTTATTTATGGCCATACATGTTTTATGAGAGAAGTGGTGGATCCTACATTAAAGGTGCTGAGAGGTGCACATCATGCTATGCAGATTTACACAGTTCACACTAGTTTTAATGATTTTTCCCCTGCAAACACAAAAAATTGAAGTCAGTTTTTAGCATAAAAATATGAATTACCTCAAGGAGGAAAATTGAAGGTGCACATCATGCTTTTAGCATCACACTAAAATGCAAAAACAAAAAATTGAAGTCAGTTTACCTCAAGGAGGAAGTGCTTCTCTCTGGTGTCCTTGCCAAACTTTAACTCATCCCACTGGAAGAACAGTTCTGGATAACTGACTTGCAGATGTGGTGGTTGATACTGTTCCTGTGATCAAACAACATACACTAGTGAGTGAGTATGATTTTACGCCTCTTTTAGCAATATTCCAGCAACGTCACAGCAGGGGACACCAGAAATGGGCTTCACACATTGTACCCATGTGGGGAATCGAACCCGGGTCTTCGGCATGACGAGCGAAGGCTTTAACCACTAGGCTACCACACTGTGCCAACATACACTAAAAAAGACCTACAATATACATTTTTAAGATACACTATGTACAATATCATGCACGAAATATGCTGTGCAGCATATACAATATGCAAGATCACTGAATACAAGATATGCTGTACAAGATATACAGTTACTGCATCGATCTATGCAGTGAGGTGAGGTGAGGTGAAATTGGGTTTAACGTCGTGCTTGAGAATATTTCACTCATATGACGACGTGCATGCATGTGTATGTGTATGTGCATGAGCGGCTGCTTGTACTAGCCCAGACTGAAGCTGGTTTTATAGTGCTAGTCCACTGAGATACCATGCCGCAGTGAAGCATGAATACCCCACTCAGACACATTATACTGACTCCGAGCCGACCAGTCCTTGTTGTACTCATTAATGTCGAGCACCAGGCTGGGACCAACAAGTACCATATTTTAACGTCTTTTGGTATGACGCGATCGGGGATCGAACCCACGACCTTCCGCTCTCCGGGCGGACACTCTAACCACTACACCACGGAGACGGTCTCTATGCAGTTGGGACCTGATAACATGTATATGCAAGCACCCAGTACCTTTCAAGTGATCAACAACTGGTTTTACAAAAATAAATATAAAATTGCAAAACAATGGGTTTTTTAAGTGGTCTCTAAGTAAAAAAGAAAGTAGGGTAAAAAGGTAAAATTCCAAACCCAGAGGCTACAGAACTCATAACAGTTATCAAATAATCTATTCTGTAACACTTATATTACACGTCTCAAAGATTGGCTGGCTGTTTTATATATCAACACGCACTGTTAATCTGTCAAGTAATCTGTCAAGTATAACAGTCCATGATTTAAGTTTATTCCACACTTATGAAATGTGTGGGCGGTGTATTTGAAAACCAAGACTTTACAGGGTTGGAAATAACTTTAAAATTGCTAGTGTACTCCGGTACAGTGGCACATGTAAAATCACTTGCCCTGATAATTTTTCCCGCTCTACCGGACGATTTTCTTGGTGATTTTTTAAACAAACAACATAATTAACATTGGATTGTCAACTGGACACCAGTACAGCGTGATATACAAACGTGCTTGCCCGACAGAAAAAAACACTGGACTCGGACGTCGGGCAATGGGTTATTTCCATCCCTGCTTTACATTCTCACCTCAGGAACGTTGATCAGCTCCTGGACATTGGAAGCATGGAAGGAACCAAAGTCTCGCTTATTTATCTGCTCCATCGGTTCCAACATGATGTCGGTGATGAAAAGTCCCTGAAAATGAGAATTTCAACATATGCATCAGCTGATAAAGGGTTAATCAGTGGTCTCTTGTCAGCAAGAACCATGTATACCATGGCTGTCTATCTGCAGTCATGTTTGGAGCGTACATGTCAATGTATGCGTGAATTAGTTTGTTGTTTAACCTTGTAGTTTGCATGATTTCAGTCTTATTAAAGATGCCTGTATATAACAGCAGTCATGTACACTAAGTTTCGTCCATTTCAAACCACAAATACTCAAATTATTGAGTAGACAAATCTTGAGAAGATTTATATGGAGTGACCTTGACCTTGAAAGTCAATCAAATGTATCAGACAAATTCCTAATGGTGTAAGCCATTCTATATCTAGTATGAAGTTTTACACATCAAATAAATGATGGTTAGGAAAATCAGTTTGATAAATCACAGGTATCCTTCGATAGGCAACTGTTGGATGACAGCCTGATCAATACATATGTCCCCCCATGTTTCACAAGAAAACTCAAACTCAATTGGGTATTTTGCCATTTTCCATTAATTGTAAAAATATAATAAAGTTTAAATGTTGGTTTACGTGTTTGTTCTTTATATTTGATCTGTAATATGAGAAATGATAAGAAAGACACAGTTGCCAAGTTTATGTGTTCAAATAGAACCTTTCCATATACCGCAGTTATTTTTCTATCCACCGGTACGCAAGCTAAGATTTGACATTTTGTGTGTACGCATGTAAGATCAAATTTAATGTGTATTTACAAAAATTCAAGTCTAATTGTACGCAACAGACATAATAGGAATTGAGTTTTCACATAAATATTTGCATAATTTACGCAGATAAGCAGCTTACCTATTTCTATACCTTACAGAAGAAAGTGCTATACAATACATCATGTACAGTACACTAAAATAAGTTTAACACAAATGTCACTGAGTACCTTAAGTTCAGTGAAGACTGACTGCCTGACTGAGTTTGGTTTTGCGACGCTTTTAGCAATATTCCAGCAACTTTCACGGCGGGGAACACCAGAAATGGGCTTCACACATTGTACCCATGTGGGGATTCGAACCCAGGTCTTCGGCGTGACGAGCCAACGCTTTAACCACTAGGCTACCCCACCGCCCCAGTTCAGTGAAGAAAATAATAATGTTGTTCTGTATTTTCTAGCATCAAAATCATCAAAAGGCACCAGTTCACCATTAGAGTGATCTGTATAGCATGTCTTGTAAAACAAAATTCAACAGTTTTGAACTTCTGCTCCAGAAAAGAGCACTAATGTTACTTTGATCAAAATCAATCTTGTTGTCATGAAAACACACACAAAAAATATACATATAAATCCCAAATCATCATGTGCCACTGAGCACCTCTACAGTGGATATTAGGCGCTTTATCAATAAATTATTAATATATTTTAAAAGGTACCAGTATACGACTTGACTGATCTGAATAGTAAGTTTTAACCAGAAATACTGAATGGTTAGGAGTTCTGTTTTAGAAATGGAGAATAGACACACAGATGGACAGACAAGCTGATTACTATTTCCCCCACTTTAAATGACAGCAATAAAGAGTGGGGGAAGGGGGAACAAGGCCACGTAACCACAGCTAGATAGAAAAAAAGTAAAAAATTAATTTATTGATATTTGACAAAATCAGATTTGGGATCCCAGTTAATTATTGATGTGGCACTGACTTGTAAAAGGGAACCATGTAATAAATTCATAACAACTGCTTTTGCAAGATGAAAGGGCACCTTGTTTCTATTTAAATATGTTTTTTAAGAAGGTGAAAGCAAGAAATAAAAACCACAGGTTCACATTCAAAAGAAATAATCATGAAATGTTAATGGCCTTAAAACATGTTGCAGGAAGTGCAATTGAACTTTTTGTGAAAACATCACATTATTTGAAATTTAATGTTTTTTGTACCTTCACTCAATTTATCTCAATCTGAAACCGGAATTGTATTCAAGATATATGACTGGTTATCCAGTGATTGATATAATGAGCATCGGTCAACACAATTTGGACATGATGACATCCATCAACCTAGTCGGCGAGTCTGACTACCTGATCACATTAGTTGCCACTGACAACAGTGAGTGAGTGAATGAGTTTAGTTTTATGCCGCACTCAGCAATATTCCAGCTATATGTTTGGCGGTCTGTAAATAATCGAGTCTGGACCAGACAATCCAGTGATCAACAGCATGAGCATCGATCTGCGCTATTGGGAACCGATGACAAGTGTCAACCAAGCCAGCGAGCCTGACCACCCGATCCCGTTAGTCGCATCTTCACGACAAGCATGGGTTACTGAAGGCTCATTCTAACCCAGACCTTCACGGGTCGCTACTGACGACAAGCATGAGATGCTGAAGACCAATTTTAACCCAGATATTCACCTGTCTGTAGAGGTAAATGTAGAATAAATATCACAAATGAACTTAGCATTAAATACTACTCCATGAATTATTTATGTTTCTTATAAGGAGCCATTTTGTACAAAGGCCTAAGGTGGGGTTATAGCTAAAACGGCACCAAAGCAGAATGGCACCAAATTTGTTTGGCGAAAATGGATACTGATTTCTGGACTAAAACGGCACCATATATAAAACAAAGTATGACGTTGACTTTTACTTTTTATTTCATTTTCTTATGACATTAGCAAGATTATAACAACATATATTTATTTTTTAGTTCCCCACTGTGATATTGCTGGAATATTGTTAAAAGCAGCATAAAACCATATACTCACTCACTCATTTCATTAAAATCACAGCAAAATTATAACAGCAAGACTATAACAGCACCGCAAGACTCTACACAAACTCAGTCCATCCTTGAACAAACTCCACAGCTAGAAGACCTCATCCTGTCTTGCCGATGAAGAATGAGCCTGGTCTGTAGGGGTAGGACTGACTGACTGATATATGCCTTTTAGCAATACGCAACCCCTCTTGAATGAGCCTGGTCTGTAGGGGTAGGAGGCATTGCAACTTGCCAATCACTGTCGGCAGAGTAGACGTATTTAAATATTCTGCAATCGGATTATCTAATGACAAACTAGTTTTCCCCATAAGATTTTAGTTGGTTCCCTTTTCGCCATAAGATTTGTAGCTGTTTTCGCCAAGTCGAGGTTCGGTTATGTCCATTTGGTTCCATTTTAGCCTGAACCCCTAATGCAGCAACTTTTGTAACAGAAACTATTTTTTCAGCAAAATTTCTTGTTGCTTGATTATTTTATCTGTGCTTGGGAGTATTTTTCGCGTTATTTCAATCATTTTCTCGATGATTTGAGTACTTTCTCGGTACTCAAATTAATGTATAGTTGCTTAATTCTAGTTTTCTCGATACTTCAAGTTTCTTTCAAAACTTGAGATTACAATTAAATATTTAATTCTCTTTCCCTTGATTATTTTCTTGTTGCTTCAAGTGTTTTCTTTTTCCCTTGATTCCTTTTTTGTTGCTTCGAGTATTTCCTTGTTATTTCAAATATTTTCTTGAAATTTCGAGTACTTACTTGATGCTTTGTTTAATGTTATCGTTACTTAAAAAATCCTTGAAATATTGATTAATGTTCTCATCATTTCATTAATTTCTCAACATTTTCTCTTTAATTAAAGTTTCTTTAAAAACTGGAAATTTTGGGAAAAAAACTTGAAGCAACGACAAAATGTATAGTTTGACTAACCAATTAGTAAATACTTAAAATTTCAAGTTTTGAAAGAAACTTATAAATAGCAAAGGAAAATAGTCCAAAGAAAGAAAATACTCCTAAGCACCGTCAAAATAATTGAAACAACGAGAAATTTCCGCGGAAATAATATTTCATGCTACAAAATGGCATCATTAGGCTTTCAAATCTTGCGCTCGCAGCCTGCAGCAGCAGGTGAAATCGTGACGTTTCACTGAGGGACGTTTTCGCCAAGTTTGGCAAATTATACTAAACCTGATTGTTTCACAAACTTTTCTCCCAAGTGAATCATATTCTTTGTTGACCTGACTGCACCATAACAAATAACCTGTCAAGTCCAGTAAGAGCTACACACACGAAATGAATTGAACTAACCAGCTGACGGTCAACAACAATGTCACGGCGTGGGAAGGAACATGTGTTTACAGTGCGTGCTATGTTTTTGTTTACAAATGTTTTCGTAAAGAGAAAATATGTTTCTTCGGTACATTTGGTGGGATAAATATTCTTTACATTTGAAAAGTCGATTTTTGTTTAATTAGCAATAATAATGCCCGAATGACTCACGAAATTTGGTAATACGAAACTTACTAATAATATGTCGTGCAAAGCTAATCCCGGAAGTTGTATATATCAGCTGGGAGGCGGTGCAACTATTGTTGACAAGTGCACTGCTAACTTACACTCAGAATATTAAAATGGCTTGAAACAGATCAACGGCGAATTCTCAGTCGAATATGTATGCATTGAAATGAAAAACTGTCAAGTTTACGCATGAGTCGATTCGTCTTTCACTCAAAATGTTCAGCAATGCGCGACGCACCAAGTTTTGTTACATATAGTCTGCAGATGTATTGAAAGTAACATCTGGTCTGGTTTTAGGTGGTGACAGTTTAATTACGAGTAGGAAATTAGCTGACTCAAGTTTGCAACGCTGGACTGACTATATAATTAAAGGTACTGTGTGTCACATAGTGCTCGACTTTTACTGTGATTCTGTGATCTGGATAGATCAGAAGAGATTAATTGTAGCTTACAGATAATGCTGTTTGCACAGTCACCCATCCAACAACCTTTGACCCAAGCTTTCCAGAATACGATACAGAAGATAATAAGGGACATATTTCTGGAGATTTATGCTCCAGTGTGGGTGACATTGTATCTGTTCCATATCCAGATCACTGACTGCGACATTTAAGTCCTGGGTCGTCTCTGTGTTACATTCATGTGAAGTTTATAGATGCCCATGATTAGCCTGTCTCTAACACATGGTTTCAGAATATTGCATGTTTAGAGCCTGTATCATAATAACTAGACAGGATGCCAAAACAGAATCTTGGACAGCTTGTAAGAGTTGAACATAATTGATTATGTATAAATGTTTTTCTCTTCATGTTCATGATAATATGCTCTCTCTTTTTTATCAATATCTTGTCTTGCTGTGGAAAAGGAAATTAGTACAGACTTATGCAAGCTTGAGAGAAGTCATTCAAAATCCAGTTTATTTGCCTGTCAGCATAAAGTATATGGTGTATTTAAAAGATAGATATACATTGGCACTACCCGGATACCTGCAGTCAGTTTGTCTAAGGTCAAAGTGGGGTGGTGGGGTAGCCTAATGGTTAAAGCGTTGGCTCGTCACGCCGAAGGCCCGGGTTCGAATCCCCACATGGGTACAATGTGTGAACCCCATTTCTGGTGTTCCCCGCCGTGATGTTGCTGGAATATTGCTAAAAGCGGCGTAAAACCAAACTCAGTCAGTTTGTCTAAGGTCAAAGGTATGCTTATAGATAACAGAATTTCAGCTGTTTGGAGATGTGTTGTTGTGATGATGTTGTTACTATTATGACAAATAAACCTCTGAAGTAAATTATCAGCCGTTAAACATGTTTAATGACGGCCCAAAATTACTCAGAAATATTGTCAGATTCAGATTGGACAAAACAGACTGGACCAAGGTCAGAGAGCAAAGCCAGTGTTTAATGTTCATGTTAAATGAAAAGCTTAGTCACAATGAATTTAATTTGTTTCAGAAAATCATGATTGGAGCTGAGTATGCACAATTCACCTCGTACATTCCAAGCGAGAACCCGGCTCCGGACCCTAACAAGAGCTTCCTGCCATCGTATCTTTTACCTTCATTTCATGTCCCTCAACCATGGACAAGCAAGACAAACAGAGCAGGCTTTCAGGAAGATTTCATCATCGTGGCTGAGTTTTCAGAAATAGAGGGCCCCAAACCAGTGGTACAGTAAAGTCTGTTTATAACAAACACGCTTTTAATAAACATGATAAACAGACGGATATAAATAACTGGGGTTTTTTTGGCCTTGATAATTGCTGTATATTCTACATATTTAAAATTCATATAAATGAACTTTGATTATAACGAACTAACATTAGTGGACCTTTGAGTTTGTTATAAGCATAGTTTTTGTTTTTTCACATCTTTTTTTATTCACTTCACTTGGATACACTTTGTATGAAGCAAAGCATAGTTATAAGCATAGTTTACAATATTTTCTGGCAAACAAAGATAAGTTGAGCACCGACCGACAATTGACCCGTATTAGCATGTTTGAGTGCCACCCACTGGCGCTTGCCATTGTTAGCGAAGGGGCCCCATGTTGTCCACGATCAAGTGTAGTGCGACTTGCTACACTGACGTAAGAGTCTTATGAGCAAGGCGTGTGCAGCTACGGCCGGAATCAATTTCATTGTCATGCAATACACGTGCACTAGCCTACATCTGCTCTACCTTTCACAAACCAAATGGGTTTGCTCATTGCCGTGCACCGCCAACTACTCGTAAATGCGTTCTCTGCGCCGTCCAACTTATCCTTGTTTGCCAGTAATGCTCTTTATTGTACCTTCTGTCTGCCTTTTTTGACTATGTCAGATCAGAATCACAATCCATTGAGAAAGTCAGCATTGTCTACTTGCATTGTAATGTTTGCAGGAAGTGCCTTTGTGCATACAACAGTGTATTTTCATGCTGAAGTAATATGTTCAGGCCAGACCAATTTTATTCCTTGTTTTACGGATACACCATTCTTTTTTTCAAGAATAATAAGAAAAAAGAAAAAAATTCCCTGCTCTAAAAGTACAATCATAATGTTTTTATTGGACAAAAATGAAAACTTACAAGAAATTTTTTAAAAGTTATTTTTGCCCCATATACACTCCATATATTGCCAAAAGTAAAATGCTTATAGTATTTCAAAGGAATATTATATTGACTGGTGATTTTTTTTTCTCCTACCTTTAAGACAAAAATCCGTAAAACAAGAAATAAAATTGGTCCGGCCTAAGATGAAATTAACATCACTGCATTAGTCTACATATTTAGCATGTTTAGTATTAGCCATGACATAGGTTTCATATACTGAAATACAAATTGTATTATGTGAGCCTGTGATAAGGTTACCACGGTTACTAAGAACAAAAGCGCCATCATCATCTATACTGTAGGTGACTGTTATAGCTGTTTCATGAAACAACAGATCATACTGTACACTGAGCATGCTGAGAAGCACTTAATCTATGACAGTGTTTATCTTGTGGGGGCGGTGGGGTAGCCTAGTGGTTAAAGCGTTGGCTCGACACGCCGAAGACCCGGGTTCGAATCCCCACATGGGTACAATGTGTGAAGCCCATTTCTGGTATCACCCGCCGTGATGTTGCTGGAATATTGCTAAAAGCGGCGAAAACCAAACTCAGTCAGTCAGTCAGTTTATCTTGTGTATTGTGAGCTTTGTTATACATGTCACTGTTTTGCGTGTGATAATCCGGGTTTGAATCGGTGTTCAGCCACATATGCTTGTCATAAGAGGCAACTGTTGGAATCAGGTGGTCAGGCTCACTAAATTGGTTGACACATGTCACGATATCCCAAATGTGTAGATCGATGCTCATGCCGTTGATCCCTGGATTGTCTGATCCAGATTTGATTATCACTGAGTAGGGCTGGGACGGGTAGGAAAAATGGAATCGAGTACCCGCATGTACTTACCCGAATCGGAATCGAGTACCCGGAAATGTAAGGAATAAAGAGCTTCTGTCAACTTTCTGAATATTCAATCATGAGTTGACAGAGATTTGTATAGAAAAATGATGGTAATAAGACACTGAAACTGAACTTCGGCTATTTAAATTACGTCTGTTTAAAAATATAGAGAGTAATACCATTACATACATTCCTCGTTAAAACACAGGACTTTTGTTACCGCTGTTACTGTATCTTGACTCCTCACTGCTCATGCTACAATATATTACAGTCGTTAATAATGACCTCCATTAATCGGACAATACCAATGATGCAAATGTGTGTTAAGTCAATAATGAAAAAGACAAGCTATTATCTGCCCTTGCCATTACAGAGTTCTCTCCTTTTCCGGGTACTCGATTCCTAGAAATAGGACTCGATTCCAGTTGTACCCGAGCGGTTCGAGTACCTGAGTACCCGTCCCAGCCCGATCACTGAGCTGGAATATTGCTGCATGTGGTGTTGAGCATCAAACAAACAAACAAACAAACAAACAAACAAACAAATGTCATTGTTTTCTGCCCATATTCAATGAACATGACTTCACAATACACTCCAAAATGGCAAGATGAAAATGTGTCTCTTTGTAAATGCAAGCATGGTACACTTATAAACTGTGCATTAATTTCAGGCTCCCAATAATTTCATCTTTGACTGCATTCCCAGATAATGTAGGAATAGCTCATACCAAACTTTTGATGTATTGAGCATGTTCATGAATAAATGAGGATTCGGCTTAAGGTGTATACATTCAGAGTGATTGTGACCCGTGAAGATCCGGGTTAGAATTGGTCTTCAACAACCTATGCTTGTTGTAAGAAACGACTAACAGGTTTGAGTGGTCAGGCTCGCTGACTTGGTTGACATTTGCCATTGTATCCCAACTTTGTAGATCCATGCGGGGCGGTTGGGTAGTCTAGTGGTTAAAGCGTTGGCTCGTCACGCCGAAGACCTGGGTTCGAATCCCCACATGGGTACAATGAGTGAACCCCATTTCTGGTGTCCCCTGCCGTGATATTGCTGGAATATTGCTAAAAGCGGCGTAAAACCAAACTCAGTCAGACAGTCAACTGTGTAGATCCATGCGCATGCTGTTGATAACTGGATTGTGTGGTCCAAATTTGATTATATACAGACTGCCACCAAATAACTGGAATATTGATGAGTGTTTCTTTAAACAACAAACAAACAAATCTGAATGATTGTACTATGATTATATCTATTGATTCTAATATGTCTGAGAGCATGACAGGAAATCTGACAGACTCATGATAATACCTGATAATGCATCTCACCATTTTCTTGACAGATGGTGATACCCAAACATGGAGGGGGAGACTTTGACCAAAACACATTTTCTGTGAAAATCATGGCCGTTGACCACCAAACGAATTCTGTGTAAGTGTCATAATCATCATGATCATGGTGCTGTCAACAACTAAGGGATAAAGTCATGATAAAAACACATTACATCTAATGATGCTGTAGCTGGATCCATAAATCATACATATCTTTCTGGTAGAATTTGTTGTCATTTCAAATCAAAGATCATGATTTAAAAGACAACTTATAAATACCATGAAAATAAAAATTCTGAATTTGTAATTTTTAAAATTATTGGCTTGAGAGTATCTTGCAAATAATGCATATGCAAAGTCTACACACTCCACTTACCAAAATCAAAGTCATAAGTACAGTGGAATCTGTCAAATCCGGACACTGTGTAATCCGGTTTTCTCTATAATCCGGACTACTCTCTGAGTCCAAGCAAATTTGTTCTTAATTTATCATTAAAGTTTGCTTTATAATCCGGACTCTCTCAATTACGGATTACAGACTAAAACAACAGTCCCGGCAATAAAGTTGCTATGAGAACAATGCTTTGTAATCCCGAATTCATCTCCAAATATTATTGAGTATGTTTTAACTAAATCACCCGTAGTCAATGCGGGGAACGTAAAACAACAGTGCACAGCTGATTGCTATTTCCGGCTCAAATATTATTGAGTATGTTTTAACTAAATCACCAGTTCGTAGTCACTTGGGGAATAAGAGAGAAATACACACAGTAATCGTAATCCATGCATATAAGACAATGCCTAGCAAAAACAAATTAGAACTGAAAAGGTAAATAATCTTGTCTAGTGATGTCTAATTGCAAATTTGACGTCTTTACTGAGAAAGTCGTCTTCTGTTGTTTGTTCACCCGAAGTGATACAATGTCGTTTTCGTACAACCTGAAAAAAAGTTTGACGAAAGTGTAACCCATAGATATGCCGACCACCTTCTACAGACTGTTTTCTTGGTAGTCAAAATTCGGCTTGTCTACGACAGATGTCCTATCCGGACCGCTTTACAATCCAGACAAATGAGTCCGTCCCAGGTCAGTCCGTGATAGACAGATTCCACTGTATTGAATGATACTCATAAGGCCTGAAGGTGTATGTCACCGCCCGCCGTGGTGTTGTGGTTAGAGTGTCTGCCCGAGAGCTTAAAGGTCGTGGGTTCGATCGACCGTGTCATACCAAAAGAGCGTTAAAATATGGTACTTGTTGGTCCCTGCCTGGCTTTCGGCATTAATGGGTACATCAAGGACTGGTCGGCTCGAGTCAGTATAATCTGTCTGAGTGGGGTATTCATGCTTCACTGCGGCATGGTATCTCAGTGGGCTAGCACTATAAAACCAGCTTAAGTCTGGGCTAGTACAAGCAGCCGCATTATACACATACACACACACATGCACGCCGTCATATGAGCGAAATATTCTCGCTACGACGTTAAACCCAATTTCTCCTCACCTCACCTGAAGGTGTATGTTTGGTATGTTATATTCAGCAGTTATAGTCTGTTGAAAAGGGACCAATCAGGTGGCAATAAGCACAGGAACACCACCATTGAAAAGTGGCCTCTCTCTTTCAGGGGTTTCAGCATATCAGAGGATACTCAGGTCGTTATCTCAGAGGACAAGGATGGTGTCTACAGCTTTGTAAGTGTCTCCAACTGGAAATTGTTAAACATGTTACTTAAACTAATTTTGGTCCTCCCAAAAGTTATCACTGGGTTCATTACTGAATGGATATTTATTGAATAACTTACAAGGACAATATGGTGGAATGTTTGTTAAGTAATTTCTTTTGAGGCAAGCCATGACCAGGATGACAAGGTCAAGGTAATTCATGTCTTCAACATTCAGTCCCAAAGGGCAGATAACCCATAAACAATGAACAATATACAAGGTATACAGTCATTTTCAGTGACATTCTTTGAAATTATTTCACCAATTTTTGCCTATTGGTAATATAGATAATATTCAATAATGATGGCCTTTGATGTGTCTTCATTACAATTAATTGCCATTCTAAGATGCCTAGCCGTTTAGAACAATCGAAAAAAATACATTATCTGACAATAAAGGTATAGTTTTTTGATGACGTAACAATTGAATGACGTTATCCCGTCACATGCGCCATTCTAGTGTGCCCCTCGTAATCGAACCATTTTACATTACGCCACAATGTAAGCGATATCACGATGCCAGTCAGTTGTCATCATGCCTCGCACGGCCTCCTACAGTTAACTACTCCGTTGCATCCCGTTTCTTGGTTTGCAGTTGCTTCACGCAGCTAACATCACTGGTGGAAACATTACGCTTATGTTTTATTGCGTCGGCTAAAATGTGTGAATTCGACTCACAAGTTTTCAGCAAAGCGTCCTCGTACTTTAACTATAATAGTTCAGGGCGAAAGTGTGCTTTATTACACTATACATGGTGGTAGAGCCGAACTGTATTTCTTAAGTATGACATGATTGAAACAGTGGCTTTGATTAAATATGTGTTTTATATGTTTAAGGTTTGTAAAGGATATACAGTTTAATTTGTTTTTTGTTACAGGTTCACCATTTTGTTTTGTATGACAATGAAGCTCGTGGATTCGTACGCCCTTTCTGCATGGCCTATGTGACTAGTGAGAGAAGGTAGTGTCTCTTGAAAGTTTCATTTAAGGCATTTAATCTGATATGCCTTTACAATCCCTCTCTGTGTAATTATCAGACAACCCACTCTAGAACATCTCACTATTTGAACTCCAAATGAAGGGTGACTGCCCTTTCTGAATGAAGGATTCACAGGTTCATCAGCCAGTCACATGAAACTGCTTAATTTTATTACACCATTAACATGATCGGTAGAAATTATTGGTTTTAAAAAAAAGCACCAAACCAGAACACAAATAAACCTTTGATGCCACTGTCTCTTGTGTTTAACCACAAACAGTGATCAGAAACGAATGGTGAACAAAATATCCACACTATACATATATTTGAAGTTATCTGTGATATCAAAGGAACAACCTCACAATGAAATTGTGTTCATGGACAAGGGGAGGTAATATTGTGATTTCAAATGTTATTCTATGAATTACCTCCCTTTAGCCATGCATTTGTCATAGAAAACTGACAAGAAATATTGAAAAAAATCATTGTATCTACTTATTGTAACTATTTCAGAAAATCCCAGGTTAAAGGTCACATGCAACCAAAAAATCAAACATAATTAAAACACAATTATCACTTATTCATGACATATAATAATAAATATACATTGCTGGTTATGAAAAAACAAAAACAAAATTATAAAGCATTATAATCGCAAATCAAAAGTGCAATATTGTGTACTTGGGTTTACTTCCCAAGAAACGAAGCAGCCGGGATACGAACCCAGTCAGAGCGGGTGGAAGTGCACTCGAGGGTAACGGCTGGTTCATTTGCAGATGCCCTCACGGCTCATTGTGTGTGTATATATACAGATGTTGGGTTTTGTAAATACATGCTCATTTTTGTGTATAACATTTTGCAATCAACAGACATCATAACATGTCATGTGTTCAAGTATCACACCTGCCTGTCTGTGTAATTACATAATGTGACAGAGACCTAATTCGGGCCATAAATCAATGCGTTTTGTTTATGGTGTATAGCCTGATTGGTGTTAAGTTCAAATTGCATGTGGTCAGTAATCGCAGTTGTGTATTGAATATTGTCATTAGCAGACAGGCAGGCAGACACACAGGTGTCAATAAAACAAGATATTGAGTTTTGTCTGTGACAACGACATATCTATATCACAGTTAGAAATTCTGTTGACGCTAAATAATGACATTGCTTTTAAGCATCGAACTGAGAAAGTGACTCGGTAAGAAGAACGTGTGGTGAAATAGTCAAATGAAATTATATAAACAGTTTATTTACTGTCATAACATATATAAAAGCTCGGCGCCTGTGAGATATCAACAAAACATTAGGAAAATAGCTCACACCAAAGCCATGACCGGTATTCACCGGACAGCCCGCTTCCAAGTTGCGCTGATGTATTTCACTGCGACGCGTGCTATGAGTGCAGCCAAGTTGTTGAAACCAATTTTCCCCGTGAAAGTCGGGGGAAAATTAGTGAATCGTTGAACCCGCTTTAAGCGCGCTTTTTTCATCGCTGGTTTTTTTCAACTTTATAAGTTGAATTTGCATTTTTGATGATTTGTTTCGTAAGTCCATACCGAAAGGTATCAGAATCTGCAAAGTTGTGTTTTACGCTGCATGTGACCTTTAAAATATATTCCCTCTTGTCTCGTTTTGACATTGATTAGTTAAAATCTTCTTTGTTGTATTTTGTGCAATTTGTTTATCCTTTGATACTATAAATTCTAGGAAAATCATGACCTTCTATGAAGAGCTTTCGGCACAGTTCAGAAAGGTAAGAGTGATGTTTGATATATTTCACTTAATATAATCTGGGTAGTCATCATATCTGAAGAGTCTTCTCCCTTGCAAATAGTAAAATGATATTTATAGCCAAATGATATCTGTTACACAGCACGCTGGGGTAGCGTAGTAGGTAAAGTGTTCACTCACCATGCCAAAGACCCAGGTTTGATTCCCCACATATGTGTGAAGCCCATGTTTGGTGTTACCTCCCATGGCATTGCTGGAATATTGCTAAGAGGTAGCACCAAAAATGGGCTTCACACATGGGTCATTTTCAAAATTGGTAGTATTTTCTGTCCGTTCCAAATAAAAAAACTCTGTGAGTTTAAAAGGATTTTGTTGTTCTAGAAATCATATTTAGATGTTTACTATGCAGTTAGGGCTTCCACGGGTTTTCGAGTACTTTCGAGGGACGAAGTCGAGTTCAGCTGGACTCGAGTCCATTTTCAAGGACTCGAGGACTCGAAAAAGGGAGATAACTCAATTATTTGACGTTGACAGACTGTCTGCCATGTGCTAAGCACGAGCGCCGTTAACGTCTAATATTAAGATAAGATATAACTTTATTATCCCGGAGGAAATTCTTATACATCCAAACTGTCTCAAAATGAATATATACACAGTTCACAAAAATTTACACGATAATTACATGCTCAAAACGAATGCTATTTACAAATAAATCTGACATGATATAATTCAATTAACCAAATAGGTAAAGAGGCTGAATAATTCTAGTTCTAATCACATGATGGTGTGATTCACAATATTTGTTGCATTCACGAATACTTGATGGTATGAAAGACTGTCGAGCTCTGTTTGTTTTGAAGGAGGGAATTGACAGCAGCGTCCACAAGGAAGTAGTTCAAAATGGTGAGATCAAATATATCAACTATCAAATCTAATTTTAGCTGCCTTTTGACAATCTGGCGCTCATAGATAAAGGGAATATACTTTCGAAAGACACTCCAGAAATTTTGCAAGCAGTATTAACAATATTGAAAAGTTTGTTTTGTTTGCGATGAGACAGATCCCCATACCAACATAGAAAATTGTAGGTCAACACACTTTGAATAAAGGTTTGATAAAAAACTGTCATTACGGTTTTGTCAATGCCTTGACGATAATAATGTTCAGAATCAGAAATTAGGCCAGTAACAGTGGCGTCATCTGCACATTTCACAGTAAACAAGTCATATATTGACAAGTAACAGTCATTGGTATACAAACGAAGAGAACGGATGAAGGAACACAGCCATGTGGATCTCCAGTAGAGGTTGAGAGAAAAGAAGATTGATAGCCATTGACACTGACATACTGAGTTCTATGTACCCTGAATTCTTTAACCCATCTGATAATGTTTTTATTAACACCTAAATTTAAAAGTTTACTCCTCTCACGGTGTGGCTGTATGGTATTAGTTGTTACAAGTCTGCAGATGAGAGTAAATATTATACATCGTTTGAGATTTCACTTCTTAAAATGATTAGGTAACTATCTTGACAATTGATAGACATGGAGAAAGATAAAAAAATCAAATGTATGGGCGTATCTTGATCTGGATAGTGAAAAGAGCAAAATAACCAAATGCATACCAATGCGGTATATCACTGCGCTTTGCAGGCAGTACAAGAAGTACTGAAGAAAAAAACATTTGTCAATTAAACATCCAAATACTGATTCTGACCAATAGGAAATGTTAGTCACATGACGATATGAAGTCGGAAAGAAGTAAGTGTTCACTTGTGTGGATCGGAACACGCCATGCAATTTACGGTATCGTTTGCTTGAAAGGTATGAATTTCGAAAGTACTCGGTCCGAAGTCGAAGTCTCATCCCTCGAGTACTCGAGTCCCCAAAATGGACTCGTTGAAGCCCTATATGCAGTGCATGTGGTAAATCAACAGAAAATACTTCCAATTTTGAAACTGACCCATGTGTGAAGCCCATTTTCGGTGTTACCTCCCGTGGTATTGCTGGAATATTGCTAAATGAGCGTCAAACCAACCTCACTCATTCACTAACTTACTCACTGTTCGATTTCAGTGTTTTTTCTACTATCTATTTTCTACTTTCTTTTCTTCTATTTAACCAAGGAACTTCCATATTTTTCTAGATGCAAGCGCCTGACTAGTGGTGACATACTGCTGTGAGTGTTCTCATTCTCACTTGCAGGTAGCTCGATTTTTAAAGTATGGAAATAGAATGGTCTTTGTGCGTGACCTTGACAGATATCTCAGTGACCTGGATTATACGAAAGGTAATGTTCACTTTTGTGTATTCTTTTAAGCCTGTAAGTTAAATATGATGAAGTATTATGTGGAGGAGAAAGTCTTAAAAAAACTAGCATTTTTGTTACATGGTAAAGTACATTAAATGTACCATCATAAAGAATGTTGTATGTCCTGTAGTATTGTATGATTTATATGTACTGTGGTTTGTAATAAGGTGGATGAATGTAACAAAAACTACCTCCTTGATAGAAAATGGGTTTATCATGAATGAAGAATGCTTTAAATCACATTTTTGTGCACTGTATATTTATGTACCATGATGAAGGATTTTGTATGTACATGATAAAGGATTTTGTATGTACCACAATGAAGGACATTGTATGTACCATGATAAAGTACATTGTATGTACCATGATAAAGTACATTCTATATGTACCATTGTATGTACCATGATGAAGGACATTCTATGTACCACGATCAAGTAGTTTATATGTACCATGATGAAGGACATAGTATGTACCATGATAAGTACATTGTATGTACCATGATGAAGGACATTGTATGTACCACGATAAAGTAGTTTATATGTACCATGATGAAGGACATAGTATGTACCATGAGAAAGTACATTGTATGTACCATGATGAAGGACATTCTATGTACCACGATAAAGTAGTTTATATGTACCATGATGAAGGACATAGTATGTACCATGATAAGTACATTGTATGTACCATGATGAAAGGACATTGTATGTACCACAATAAAGTAGTTTATATGTACCATGATGAAGGACATAGTATGTACCATGAGAAAGTACATTGTATGTACCATGATGAAGGACATTCTATGTACCACAATAAAGTAGTTTATATGTACCATGATGAAGGACATAGTATGTACCATGAAAAAGTACATTGTATGTACCATGATGAAGGACATTCTATGTACCACGATAAAAGTACATTGTGTGTACCACGATGAAGGACATAGCATGTATCATGAGAAAGTACATTCTATGTACCACGATAAAGTACATTGTATGTACCACAATGAAGGACATTCTATGTGAGTGAGTAGGTGAGTTTAGTTTTACGCCGCAGTCAGCAATATTCCAGCTATATGGCGGCGGTCTGTAAATAATCGAGTCTGGACCAGACAATCCAGTGATCAACAGCATGAGCATCGATCTGCACAATTGGGAACCGATGACAAGTGGCAACCAAGTCAGCAAGCCTGACCACCCGATCCCGTTAGTCGCCTCTTACGACAAGCATGGGTTACTGAAGATCAATATTCTAACCCGATCTTCACGGGTGTCACAATGTATGTACCACGATGAAGGACATTGTATGAACAATAATTAAAGAACATTGCACATACCATAATTATGATAATGCTTAACATCATTTACAAGGATGATGAATGTTGTATTTTGGGCAATAAAGCACATAATGTGTGTTGTGATAACAATCAATGTATGTTATATGATGAAGAGTATTGTATGTACAGGTCAGTTAAGGATGAAGGGAACATCGCAACCAGAATCAGCATCTGGGGAGGCAGAGAGGCGGAATGCAGAGGAAGAGACGTACCAAGATCTGCAAAATATTCGAGCATCAATGGACGAGGTGAAGGAAATGCTAATTACACTCCGACCTTTACTGGTGAGAAATCATTTGTTGATCAAGTTCAAAGTCGATGCTTATTATTAATACCAACCACCTTCTAGTGTCTTCAGTTTTTTTCCTATTAAATGCTTTTGAATTGTTCATTTCATTAAACAAATCATCAAAACCGTTTAAGACTTGACATGTTGTTTCTGACGTATGTGGCTAGCATTTTTGGTGGGATGTTTCCCGTCTTTTTACCTTCATCAAGTCTATAACTCTCATTTGATCATTTTTACCAATTCTCTGCTTGTGGCCCTTGATTCCTTGGCTGATCATGTTGTTGCTACATTGTGTGGGGAGAAATCAAACAGTCTGTGAATATATAACATTCAAGACACAGTGCTGCAGCCAGACTGGCAGATTACAAGAATCTAAGAATTTCAGAAACAGATGATATCATTGCTCCAAGTACACAGAGTTGGCACAGGTTTTTAAAACGCGTTATGAGTGAGTGAGTTTAGTTTTTAAGGTATGGGAGTTACGATCACCTTAGCGCTAAGACTGTTGTATGTCTATGTTAAGGTATGGGAGTTACAATCACCTTAGCGCTAAGACTGTTGTATGTCTATGTTAAGGTATGGGAGTTACAATCACCTTAGAGCTAAGACTGTTGTATGTCTATGTTAAGGTATGGAGTTACGATCACCTTAGCACTAAGGTTGTTTTGTACTAAACTTTAAAGTTTTAACCCTTGTCTACCAGTGCATACTAGGCACTGCTCCGGCCTATCTCAAAGAACTGTTTAAACCATATCTTCCATGCAGACAGCTTCGCTCCAGTACACCTTCACATTCTAAAAAATGGAACCCTTGTCTAATCCATGTTTGGGGAAGCTTCCAGTGACCAAAACTTACGTCACATTAAAAATGGAAGTTGAAATCCTATGGTTTCGAATGAACTGGAATGAGTTACCAGCTCGCCTTAAAACAAGCCCAACAGTCACATGTTTCAAAGCAAACCTAAAGACATACCTTTTCTCTATGTTTTACAAGTGACTCCTAAATTCTATCTTGTCTGCGCTATGAGCATGCTGTCGGTGTGGATTTAGCGCAATACAAATGGACTAATTATTATTATTAATTACAACGGCACCCCGGTATTTAAAAACTCCTAACACCACACTCCCTGCATGTCAAGTTGGTGCACAGACCTCTTCATAATCTCATAATAACATGATACTGGGAATAACATCCAAATATTGAGAAACTCCTAATATCACAGTCTGTATATGTCAAGGTACCATGGTACAAAGTGATCTTGGCGCTAAGGTGATTGTAATTCCCATTCTGTAACATAATTTACGACTGTCATACATGCTGCTTGTACAATGGCTGCCTGGTCCCGTGTATGGAGCGTCCCATCATCAACTGTTGACAATAGGAATAACGCTGATGTTTTGAGAAACTCCTAACACCACTCTCAGTACATGTCGATGTATGGAGCTAATCTTTGCAGTTTCTCAAGGGAAACAGACATAATGTGGCTGAAGGGGTCGTTGTCGGCACAGGTACTACAGATGTGTACCCCAGGTACGTTTCTGTATACAGACATGTACCCTAAACAAAGACAAACTACAGAAACGTACACAGTACCCTAAACGTCGGACGAGTCCATATTCTGCAACCCAAAACCGAAACTGTATGTAGTTGTTCACGTTCAGCTGATTGCGAGTGGTGTACCTTGTGCACCGTGAAATATTCGTTACTGTGTATGCTCTTATATAACGCAATCAAATGCATCTAATACAACAGTATGACAGTTCCGATCAAGAAAACTCCACAATGCAGAATGGAATCGTCCAAGGGTACGTTTCTGTATTCTGATTTTGGCTAGGGTACATTTCTGTATACAGAAACGTACCTGGGGTGCACATCTGTAGTACCCATGCCGACAATGACCCCTTCAGCCATAATGTGATCATCAGACTTTGACCCAACATTTTTTCATACAAAGTGGAACCCTTTCAAACAAAACCTGGCTGCAGCACTTGTAACAGCTAGTCTTTCAACATATTTCATACATTTTCACCCTTTGGTACGGTACTTGCCTGTACAAATATCTACTACAGGTGTTTATACTTCTGTTTAAATTTGTCAGAAGATGTTAGTATTCCGTCTATCTTTATCTAGCATGATTCTATGCTTTGTGTTCTTGCTGAGAATTAATGTATGCTGTGCGTATGTTTCATTGCAGAGTGGTGGTTCACTTTACCGAGTTAGTACATGCTCTTTCTGTATCCGTCTGATAATGCACTGTTCTAATTTTAGTCAGGGGTTAATAAATATTGCTTGCAATTATCTGCTACACATGAAGGAGGAATTTTGTGGATGTTCACTTCTTCTTTATCGTTGTGTTCGTCATATGAAAACAAAGTTTACATCCATACAATTTCTGCATCATCTGTTTCAGTGCTATGTTTTGTCATCATCATCTTGCTGATTCAACGTTCTCATTTAAATTTCAAATTTTATGTCAACATCCATTCATGAATATTTTTTCACCCCTGATATTTGTCCTAACCTTACATGTTCTGCAGGATCTCTACCATGACAATAGAATCTTGCATCCTGATTGGTCCATATCAAATACATGGTAGCAAGTACCTGGAACAACCATTGTTTTGCTTATGAGAGCATTTCTGAGAAATTTTTGGGTAAATTTTTAAATTCAGATTCTAATGTTAACATGTGGTGTTTTGAATCACATTTATGGTATAGCATTACAAGTCATCTAACAATAGATTCAATACCAATTTTTGTTGTTTTGGAACCAAGTTCTTAATGTTGCCATAACAAAATTAAGCCTGCCAGGTGCAGGTCTTGGATGCCAAAATTTTCATCAAATCATCCGATACTGTTCCGATATCATACACATAACTGTGAGAAATTTTATACCTTTTTCTGACCAATCAGAATCAAGCATTTTTCTATGTCATGGTAGAATTAGAAAGTTTGTTATCTACATTCTATTCAACTTTAATTTCTCTGCAGTATTCCTTAAGTGTATCCTTGATATTATTCAACTGTTTTCATATGAACCCTGATCACCATATGCATGTTGCCTAATAATTCTGACTTTTCATACCTGCACAAAATTTTACCAAAATAATAATAAGAAGAAAGACAATTTGTGTAATCAGCTTTCATGAATGATGAAATGTCTGTATGTCCAATGCTTGTCCCTCCTACAGCCAAAGTTTACAAGCAGTGATGTGTATAATTTATCTAAGTCATAAGTATCTGGGAATTCTAAATCATGATTATCTCAGAGTAGTGATTATTTTTTAGTACCGTGTAGATGTTTGCAGTTTCCATTTTCAATGTCCCCAGTTTGGATTTGGATTTGTTCCCAGTCTGAAAGATACCAAGTCATTACAGACATATAGGAGTTTCTGTAATTTCCCTGTATAGGCCAGGAAGCCAGGAGCTGAAAATGGACATATTGGTACCACTCAGAGGGACCAAATGTTTTAGTGTTTTTTATATTCCTTTATGTCTCTATATATCAAAAATGTATGATGGACATCTCAATTTGGTAGCTCAGACTCAGAACGAGGCTAGAATTCAAGATGGCCGCCAAAAAACCCAAAATTTTCAGAATATCTCAATTCCAAGCTTTAATCATGAATAAAGTTCTGCAAATAGCTTGGAAATGAAAAAAGGGAGGAAACTTGGTGCCAACATGATTAAAAAGATTAATTAATATCAAGTTGTGTTACTTGATACCTTTAAATCATATTTTTCCCTGGTTTTGTAAGAGTCAAAATTGTACAAGTCTTGCTCAAGTTGCTTTTCTTGAGTTCATTTCTTGCAAGTACACAACAGTCTGTAAACTGCCAAGTTGTCAGTGCCTTACCAATGAAGTGAAATGCACAGTGTCGGGACCAGACTTGTGACAACATGGTATGCGAGGACCATGACGTGCTGAAGAGTGACACTGATGAAGCTGATGTTTATGATGCGGAACAGTGACTATCACTACAAAAATTAAGGGACTTGAAGGTGCTCTCACCCAATCACAACACAAATTAAGGAACTTGAAGGTGCTCTCACTCTTTGAAATTAAAGAGCTGTCTTCAGAATAAATTAAATGATAAGTTTTTTAAAACGTTTTTTGAACGTACAATTTTGACTCTTACAAAACAAGGAAAAAATATGATTTAAAGGTATCAAGTAACACAACTTGATATTAATTAAATCTTTTTAATCATGTTAGCACCATTTTACCTCCCTTTTTTTATTTCCAACCTATTTGCTGAACTTAACTCATGATTAAAACTTGGAATTGACATTTTTTTTTAAAAATTTGTGGGGGGGTTGCGGCCATCTTGAATTTAGCCTCGTTCACCTTCATGGCCATCATACTTTTTTGATATATAGAGACCATAACCACTTCAAAAAACATAAAAGTGTTTGGTCCCTCTGAGTGGTACCAAAAGATTGTCTGGCTCATGGCCTAGAACCCCATGATTGTCATCATAGCTGATAAATGGTGGTTTGTTTGTTTCCTGCTGCCACAATAAGCAATATTAAAGCAAGATGAAAGTGGTCTGTTAATAATCACCCAGTGGTTGATACTGTGAGCACCGATGCATGTCATCAGGGCACACTGACATGAAATCAACCAGGTCACAGACCCTGACGACCTGGGTTCCATTGTACAAAGCGATCTTAGCGCAAAGGTGATCGTAACTCCCATTCCATAACATAGACTTACGACTGGCGTAGTGCTAAGATTGCTTGGTACAAGGGCACCCAGATCAAGTTTATTGACTCTTTAGGTTTAGATCTTTTCCCAGTAAGATCACATACCTGATATCAGATTTTCATAGAGATTTGAAAATGGGCTTCAACTTTAGGCTGCATTTTTCAGTAAGGCCAGACCAATTTTATTTCTTGTTTACAGATCCGCCAGTCGTATTTTTTCAAGAAGAAGAATAAAAATATAAATCAATTTTACCCGCTCACAAAATAAAATCCTCATGTTTTTATTGGCCAAAAATGTAAGCATACAACAGCAAAAAAATTTGATTGTTATTTGCACCATCTACACTTCATAAATTGCCAAAAATACAATACTTTTAGTATTTAAAAGGAATATTACTTTGACTGGTGATTTTTTTTTTTTCCTCCTGCCTTTAGGTTTTCTGAGGACAAAAATCCGTAAAATAAAAAATAAAATTGGTCTGGCCTAATAGCTTGCACAAACGTGTTTTGTGTTGCTGAATTGATCCCTGATCATGTTGACAGATTCTATACCTGATTTGCTGTGTTTCTTACACACTGTGTGTGTGTATGTGTTTTGCTGTGAGTGTTTAGGTGAAGGTTTGATTAGACAAAGCTAAATGTGTGATGTGAATGGTTGTAGTACATGTGCTTTGATATATGTTTGTTCCCCCTTCTTTGAACTCTAAAATATGAGTAGGTATGAGTTTTAGGGATGTTTAAAGTCAAAACTAGTATCCATTATATTTCTGTCAATGGACACCATCTGTAAATATGATATCATATAATCAGATATCATCTGTAAATATCATATCATCTACAATCATGTATCATCATTTATTGAAATATCATATGTAATCATATGCCATATGCACTGTGATATCATGCACAATAGGATATCATTTGTAAGTGTGATATCATACACAAAAGCATATTATCTTGTAAACCTGATATGCACAGTGTGAAACATGATGGGATATCACGTGTATCATCTGTAAACATGGTAAGATCTTATCTCTGGATGTGAGATGGGATATCATTTGTAAATGGGATATCACACTCAATATGAAACACGATGTGATATCATCAGCTTATCTGACATTCACAGTGGGATATCATCTGTAAACATGATATATAATCAGATATCTGTAAATATATCATCTACAATCATGTATCATCATTTATTGCAATATCACATATAATCATATGCCATATGCACTGTGATATCATGCACAATAGGATATCATTTGTAAGTGTGATATCATGCACAAAAGCGTATCTTGTAAACCTGATATACACAGTGTGAAACATGATGGGATATCACCTGTATCATCTGTAAACATGATATAAGATCTTATCTCTAGATGTGAGATGGGATATAATTTGTAAATGGGATATCACACTCAATATGAAACACGATGTGATATCAGCTTATCTGAGATTCACAGTGGGATATCATCTGTAAACTGGATATAATATATCTAATATGAGACAGGATATAATCTATACATATGATATCACACACAATGTAAAACATGTTATACCTATATATATGAGAAACAGTGGGATATCATCTGTAAATTTGATATCAGTTCATTGACAAAGATGAGAAATTAGAACTTTTTAAAATCTGAGAATAATAAATGTTGATCTTTTCATGGACAATTATAAATCATAAAATATTAATGTTGAAAATGTAACTAAATTTAAGCAATAATGCCGCGAAAATAGGTATCATGATACGTGAAACTTATGTATCGTGACATCCCTTCTGTTGATATAGATCATAGAGACCAATAATTGTTATCTAAATACATGTATCAACAAATATTGGAGAAGTGACTTGAACCCAAAACAAAATCAAAATATCTGAAAGAATCAACATATTTCATGTCCCTGTGCATGAATTACTGACAAAAACATCTCCGTGAGCATGATTTAGAATCAGGTTGTGAATAAAGACCTGGCTTTGAGTATTGTGTGTTTAAAGTTATACCTTGTAACTTGTGACAACAGCTTATGTAAGATATTTTCGATGACCACAATTTTCATATTGATAAATAGATACCTCATCCCATTGGCGATTTTTCTGAATATCAATTTCAAAATACAAACTCAAAGAATAGAATATATTACACATTTAACAGCTGTCCATTTCCTTCCAGTTTCAGTCAATTGTGGCATCTCATTCAGCATGCTTGGCAGCTTTTTCTTTTGAAATTCATGAAAATGTTGCTTGTATATTTCAGAATGACCGCCGAGTTGAATGTCGGTTCCAAACACTGGAAGACCGAGCCTACCATCAGAAGCTGAAAGCTGAGACAACCAATGTGGATACGTTAAGTTTGGAGGAGAATATATTCTCGGGGGAAAAAGCAAGTCCTGCTTTCCGATGTAAGATTTGCTGCCAAGGAATCTGATGTTTCGGACTCAATATTAGTTAGATCCAAGCGACACATGATGGTCCTGTGGAAATGTCATTGGTCCTGATAGTGATTTGGGGTTCAAACCTATTTTCTACTCACCTGTGCTTGTCACATGAAGTAGTTTCATGAATCGCTAGGTCAGATTTGGTGAGTTACATCTCAACAGGGCTACAGATAAAGGGCGTACAGGCGTAATGTACGCCTCAAAATCAATTAAGTACGACATAATATAAGATTTTAAGCGTATCGTGTACGCACATAAATACCTTTGTACGTCTAACATTTAATTTCCGTGCGTATCGTGCAAATGGAAATCTATTTCGGATAAATACTTGTCAAGTTTCTTTTGCGAAACACGATTTGAAACATGAGGAAACCCCGACAGTAGGAATCCCTTGCGTTGCCATGCAACGATATGCGTCACTATTTTTCGATTGGCTAAAAACTACACTGTTCCTATTTATATCCAGTCGGACCTGACATTTCGCGCATCCTGCGTGGCTCAGTTATTTCTCCGCAGCGTCTTCAAATACAAATACATGGTTGGAAATAGTGATCGATGAATCGTCCAGACAAACCACATCACCAACTTCGCTCACACAAAAACATGTCAGTACTCCTTCAAAATTCTCAGTACACCTCCACTTGCAATATGATGTGTAAGTACACTCACACCCCAAAAGTTATCTGGAGCCCTGTTGTTGGAAGTTGGTAGTAGGATTGTCTTGTGGTTGAAGCGTTTGCTTGTCATGCTGAAGAAGCAAGTTCGATTCCCCACATGGGTACGAATTGTGAAACCCATTTCTGGTGTGCCCCAACATGATATTGATGGAGTTTTGCTAAAAGCAGTGTAAACCATACTCACTCACTCATGCAGGAAAAAACAGAAATGGGCTTCAACCATAAAACTGGAGGAACGTCATAATAAGCGATTTAACCACTTGGCTCTGTCATATTCCATCATGTCATCAGGTTTTGGTCTCTTCCCACTCAGGTTCTGAAACATGTTGTGTCTGACTACTCACTAGACACGTGACTTTGTTACAAACTTGCCTTTCTTACGATATACACAAACTTGTGGATAACAGTTTCTTTTCTTTCATGAGTACAAGTGCAAAGAAGTTGTTATTCATAAAGTTTTTCTGTATTGTACTTCCCAACTTCTAAAATGTCTCTCCAAGAAGTTGCCTTTCTTATCCCCGCAGAGAATGGTTACCCAGTGGGATCAGTCTAAGTAAACTTAGCCTCAGTATTATTCGTTACACTACTATATTGAGTCTATCAAACCCTAGTAGAAGTGTCGCGTCAGCTAACCTTTGAGCGACCTATGACCGTCGAATCAAACGCGAGAAGGCCGAACGGATTAAACCAATCAGAGAATGACTACCTGTTACGATTCGGCGGGACTTACGGTACAGTTTTTGGATTTTCTCTTCCCTGGTTGCTGACATTGATTTATCAACAAACAAAAATCCAAAATAAACACAGATATTTGACCTGGTTACTATTAGCTTATATTTACGCCAGATACCATTCTTGAATATTGACAAAAACGCTATTTTCAGCCACTGTTTTCTCATTTGTCCTCCATGTGTATCACTCGGAAACGTGTGGAAAATAGCATTCAGAATCGTTCGAGGTTTTTAGGTAAAGGTTCAAACAGTATGGGCGAATGACAACTTTCGCGATTTGGTGAGCAGTGTTCTGATTGGTCAGTCCAAAAGTTCATCTGACACGACCTTTTACTAGGATTTGTTAGACTCAGTATAGCAGTGCAATAAATAATACTGAGCTTAAGTTTACTTAAACTGCCAGTGGGATGCACAAACATTCAACGCACAAACATTCATTTTAGGGTGTGTATACTCCCTAGGGAGCTGAGAATGCCATTCAATCACACAGTGCTCTGTCGATAAATTGTATGGCAACAGTGCAGGTCACACTGTTCACAGCTTTTATTCAATTTTGTTCCCAGGTGGATCCTTCAACGGTGCAGCAGATACAACCTTGTCATTATTCCAGGGGCACCGTCCCTACACTGTAAGTACCAAAGAAATAATCTCTTGGTTCACAAAACCTTGAATACAGGAAGTTTATGTACAGTTGTAGATATTATAGATTAAAGAAATTGTTTGGTGATAATGTTTATAAAAAACATTATAATTGTTCCTTTTGATGAAGTGTTCCAAATTCTTGATCACAATATTTTAAAAATTTGAATTCTCTTTCTTTATTATATTTGAAATAGAGGTATGTAGTCTTCAGTTAGACGGCTTGAAATTTCAAATCAATGCTGTTATCTCTTTCATTGGCATGACCATGATAAGAAAACCATGTTCATTTGGAGCACATACTTACGCATAATAGGCAAATAGCTTAGGTATCTTCTAACATGCTGAAAAGGGGTCAAATTTACACTCAAATTTATGATGATTAGATTATATCCATCATAAGTTTAAAATAATTGTTGTTACAAAATACACAGTTTTTAAGAGAAATTAATGAAATAACCCTCAACAGATATATGTTTAATTTCATCGCATATAGCCGAAGATTGTTTCCCCAAACAGAAGAAAGAAGTTTGACAGTGCCCTGAGGGGTCTCCATGAGTTGTGTTCCTGGGGGGCCAAGGAGGGGCTGAAGAAACTCAGGTGCATTCAAGAGGTAATGCCACACAAATAATTCTCCAACTTCAATGCATGCACCGGTGATACTAATCAAATAATTTCATGCGCTATTTGTCAGAAATATGGTTAACAGTTTGGCACTATTTTGAAAATGTTAATGAAATCCCCATGATCGCCAGTTTCTACTTTTGTGGTTAGCTTCTTAGTGACAGAAATCAAACCAGAGACAATAAGGACTTTTATGACAGTTATGACAATAAGGACTTTTATGACAGTTATGACAATAAGGACTTTTATGACAGTTATGACAATAAGGACTTTTATGACAGTTATGACAATAAGGACTTTTATGACAGTTATGACAATAAGGACTTTTATGACAGGACAGTTATGACAATAAGGACTTTTATGACAGTTATGACAATATTAAGGACGTGTTCACAGAGAGACTATCTTTCCTTATCCTGACTCATGCTTATTATGCTTGTCTCCTCCTTCTATGCGAATGGACCGCCTCCGTGGTGTAGTGGTTAGAGCGTCCGCCCGGAGAGGGGAAGGTATCGGGTTCGATCCCCGATCGAAGAATTTAGCAAAATTTAGGCTATAGGATCACAACTAAAAGAAATATAGTGCCGTATAGGGACTACAAAGTTCCCACAACCATCCACCATGGCGATGGAGGAGAGACTGACAAGCATGGTTGGTCATATGACTGTTTTGGCGGGAAAGTATGCAAGGGAGGTTACTCGTGGGTGAGTGTTCTTTTACGTCCGCTTTAAAGGGAACTACAAGGGATTTCAAGTGTTCCACTATCATTTGTATAGAAGGAGGAGAAAAGCATAATAAGCATGAGTCAGGATAAGTATAAAATATCAATTTTACTCAAAAAATTACATAATCTTCAAGCTATTGACTCTCCCAGAAAAGAACCAAGACACTGTGTACAGTAATGTTACTTGACAAATAGTAAATTATTACCCAAACAGGGCCTCCATGTAACCATTGAGACCCAGGGCTTAAAACGGTTCCAGGACTCAAGGGCTTGTTGGAAGAAGGTACTGAGGCTGAATGACTCAGCTTCAGAGATTTTCAGATTTATCAAGAGGGCCTTTTTTCACAAGTCCTCAGATACTGTTGCTATTCCTGATTGAATGATACAAATGTTTAATGTACATTTGCTATCATTCGATACAGTTCCAATTTGCACCATGTTAAAGCATGGATCTGGTTCAGAATTGTGGCCCTTCAGTGCTACAAGTCAATGAGGACAGCAATACCTGAATAATCTATTGTCAGAGAAATTTGGGGCTAGCAGAGCAGCTCTTAAGTTTGAAGGCTGTGAATCACGTCATATGTCATATCATGTGATGTCTTGATTCATCTAACAGTTATACATTTATAACCTTTGAAAACAATTCTCTTGTTCTTCCAGCACTATAAAAGAGAGACAATGATTTTAGAACTGGAGAGAAGTGAATCCAACCTTCTAGGTGAGTGTCACCATGGTAACGAAGTCCCACTGGTCATTAACATAATGGTACTCTGGAATGCAGTGACATTATAATATACTGGATGACATTATTCTATGACAAGCAGATTCATTGTCCTTATTAGCAGAATACAGTGGAAAGTTCACTAAAGAATGTTTGTTCAGATAATATTGATTTAAAATGCCCGATATAATGATATGATATGGTGATATGATTATGTTCAGTATGGTCTTCAGGCCACAGTGCCTAATGCCAACATTGCCTTATTTCTATATTGGCTGACAACTGTTCCAAGGTATTCCTTCTTTACAACTGTGAAGCTGCAGACATTGCGGAGGCTGTGTCTGTTATGACCAGGGTGCCGTTGTACACAGCGATCTTAGCGCTAAGGTGACCGTAACTCCCATCCCTTAACATAGGCTTAAGGTAGTCTTAGTGCAAAGGTTGTTTTGTACAATGGCACCCTGGTAGTTCAGGGGAAACAACTCTGTCTGTTATGTTGAAGACCTGTTTCTTGTATGACCTTTTGCAGACCCACCTGGCTCTCTGATGACATGTGGACAGTGCGTGACCTCCAACTTTCTGACTGGGATCTCCATGTAAGTGTACAGAGGTACCTCCACTTAGGATCTGTCCTTGACCTTAGGGGTCACCAGATCTTACCTCAGCCATATATGTTGAGATCTGCATCAAGAGATAGGGTGCCGATCTCTGGCAAAAGTACTGGGAGCTCTTCCTTGCCATCATATTTTAAATAACATATGTTATATTTGGGATTACACATTCTCATTGGCATTGACCACTTTCTAAATGCCATGGCATTATGTACTCATATTTTAAGTAGTTTGTGATGGCAGTTGATATTCGATCTCCACAATCAAAGTTATAAACCAGTTGCTATGAACTGTTGTATTTGTTACAGGGAATGTGTGAAACCAGGGATTTCACGTAATCCCTAAAAGAATCAGTAATTTCCTGAAATCACTGTGACCCCCAGGGATAACATGTAATCCCTAAAATGTCAAGGAATTTCATGAAATTACTGATTTGACTTCACATTGTTGCTTTAGCGCCCAGCTGTCATCTACCAGCACTAGTTTCCCTTATATTGTTGTGGAGCTTGTAGCAGCATGTTTTCTCTTCCACATGTATTTTGTTTCACAAGTGCAATGGTAATTATGAAATCAAGATTTTCATGAGCAAATGGACTTCCACTGATGAAGTGTTCCTGTTGCAGGCGTGGCTTGGACCTGTCGTCCAGTCTAGCAGACGCAAGTCTGTCTACGCCAGGGTCAGATATCATAAAGAGGTGGCCTTCGGTATGTATGCTGTTAGTAACCATGGTAACTGTAATTTTGTACCAGAATGTCTCAGTGGCAGTGATAGTTACAGCAAGGTTTAAGCTTAAGCATTTAGAACTTGCACCGGTGCAACCTGAAACTGACAAGTGCAACCAAGATTGGTGATTTCCTTGATCACATCCAGTGGTGTAGATAGTTGCTCAGGATATCAATCCCTGGATTGTCAAATCCTAACTTGATTTTTAACGGGATGCCTTCAGATAACTTGTACATTTTAAGTGCAGTCAAAGTAAACTTAGGCTCAGTATTATTCGTTACACTGCTATGCTGAGTCTAACAAACAGTAGTAAAAGGTAGCATCAGCTAACAGTTTGTATTGACCAATCAGAACATAGCTTACCAAATCGCGAAAGTTAACATTCACACATACCGTTTGAACTTTTACCATGAAAGCGTTTGTACTGGAACGATTCCGAATCCCACTTCCGAGCGATTACTTCCGAGTGATACACATGGAGGACGCCATTATTCACAACAGTGAGTAAACAGTCACTGAAAATAGCGTTTTTGTCAATATTCCTGGATGTCATCTTGTGGAAAAATATGCTAATAGTAACCATGTCATCAGTGTGATTGGTTAAATGTGTTCGTCCGTCTTGCAGTTAATTGGACGGTCATAGGTGGCTCAAAGGTTAGCTGATGCGACCTTCTACTAGGGTTTGTTAGAGTCAATATAGCAGTGTAACGAATAATATTGAGCCAAAGTTTACTTAGACTGATCTTAAGTGTGTCATTTACTTCAAACACACCATGTCACACACATTACTTGTGTTTCATAATTTGATCGGATTTAAATGCTTTTAGGTTTGCCAGTATGTTAGAGATCTCCAACAACTGTTTGTTTATTTTCCTTCAGAGCGACACCCTAGATAGCTTCAAGTCAGCCGGGTCATTTGTGTCTCTCCAAGATGAAGATGGTGACATCATGTCTTTAACATCAGCAGATGGAAATACAAGGTGAATGATACTAATACTCTGTCATAATCTTTGTGGGGCGGTGGGGTATCCTAGTGGTTAAAGCGTTGGCTCGTCACGCCGAAGACCCGGGTTTGAATCCCCACAAGGGTACAATGTGTGAAGCCCATTTCTGGTGTTCCCCACCGTGATGTTGCTGGAATATTGCTAAAAGCGGCATAAAACCAAACTCAGTCAGTCAGTCAGTCAGTCATAATCTTTGTGGTGGCATGTGGTCCTGTGCATAGAGCTCAGATCACAACTCATTTGAAGTTAAGCAACATTGGGCGCAGAGAGTCCTTGGATGGGTGACCGTGTTTGGTAGCTTGACTCCTGAGAGTTTCTAGGACTTCAGTCCTGCCCCCACAACGAAGCATATGTGATACATGTGGTCTCACCTTAGGCAAGTCAGTTTGTTCAAAATTTGCCTCTGTTCACCCAGCAAAAAGTGGGTACCCGGTGGGACAAGTCATGTGACTAATAACCCTTCTAGCGCCTAACAGGCAGCTTGGGTTATCCGGGGTAATAATGTATTAGCGCTTTGAGCATGCACGAGTGTTTGGAAAAGGTGCAGTATAAATGGCCATTATTATATATATCTTTACAGCACCATAATTTCAGGTAAACGTGTCCTGAAAATTAGTAGTACAAAATACCTATGAGTCAGGTAATGAAATTATGAAGACAATTGAAAGGTAACCAGAGCAAATTATTATGATTCTTGGTGTGCTGCCAAATAGTTACATCTTCCATTGCTAAATACAGAATCTCACCCAAAGTGTCTACTGATATCAATTATATCAACACGAGCTGATGAAGTTACAAATATCTGAGGTTTGCCGAGGATATTTTTACCTTTTTCAACGAGTGTTGATATAATTGATGGAAGTAGACATGAGGATGAGATTCTATTTATCATCAAAAATCACTCTTCATTAGTTTTCAATGAAAAATGTACATCTCTGAACACTGTACTACCGTTAGACTTGCAGTGCAGCGATGTCATAGCATTGTGATGTCATCAAGTTCATGACGTCATAGCATTGTCAGGGCATTGTGCAAAATCTACTGTCAAAACGATGTCTCCTAGGAGAAGGAGGTCACGAGTTTCGTATAATTCGTATGTAATGAGACCGAGTGTGGTATTTTATTTATTACCCACGTCTTACATGCATTAAATTGACAAAATAGCGTATTTTTGTTATGTTTTTGGTTTCAAACCGAAACCGGTTTCATAAAGAGGTTGCGGAAGAGTTTTGTACTGTAGTACAATATTTGCATGACGTCACACTGTAATGACGTCACTGCCTTGGTAACCGATGTCACGATGCATGTCAGATGTCATCCCCTCGTACAGCCGCCTACAGTAAACTACTCCGTAGCACCTCGTTTCTTGGTTTCCAGTTGCTTCATTTGGCTAACATCACTGGTGATACAATGCGTTTATGTTTTTCGACGGATATAATGTCTCAGTTCGACTCACAATTAAACAGCGACACGGCAACGTTCGCAATGTTTACATTCCCACAATGCATTTAAGTTGTAGAATGAATGAATTCACGTGTTTGTTATGAATGAAAAAATAGTTACGTCAGAATGTGACCTAACTGAGAGGTCATCGGTTATCCAATCAAATCGTTAGAATCTCAGGTCAAGTCGTTACGACACAGGTAAACGCGATACGACACTCGTGTGACGTACAAGATTAGTATGCAACTATCCATACGTTGACCACGTGGGTAATAAAGGCTGTAGGACTATTTGTTGATCCTACTGACTAGGTCATCAGCATCCTCATTGTTCATTTCTGCTTGTTAGTCAATCAAAGCGATTCATGAAGGTGCAGGTGTCAAAAGATAAGGAAGATATTTTCTCAAATGAAAATCCGCTATCCCTTGAAATAAAATAGTCCGTCCGTGCCTTACAACCTAAATATATTTACCAGCTTTTTTTAAACACAAAACACAAATGTTGAAATCCCTACCTATATTGTGTGTGCCTCTTCTCCGTTGGAAGTTACCACTAATCCTTACACTGTGTGGCTTGTTCCGATAGTGACCGTAACTCAACACTGTGGGATGTCTTAGTCAGTGGTCACCTTGCGGTCAGTGGGATCTCTCTCCTTCCTTGCTCACACAATGTGATCTGTAGAATGACCAGACAGTCGATATATTGTGTGGTCAGATGGTCTCTCACCTGCCGTGCTCACACAGTGTGGTCAGTAGATGTACAACAGTCTGTAAATCTTGTGGTCAGTGGGGCCTCTTGCCTACCTCATGCCCTCTGGTCTGCAGAAGGACTGGTCACTGAGGTTATACACACTTCATTCACTCTGTAAGTGAGGATGGAGGAAGTGAAAACAGCGTCATGCTGAGGACAATTGTTTACATCACAGCATGTCATTTATGTCATGCTGAGATCACCTTTTGTTGGAAAGACGTGATGATAAAGTTTTCAAAATTATTGAGGAAAATAATGTTTTCTTTCAAGATTGTTTTATCCTTATATTAACGTGATAATGGGAAAGAAATGTTTGTGTTCTGGTTTTTAGAATTAATGAGTTCAAAGACACAGGGAGATTTGAAGTTAGGTTTTATCTGATTGAGTTTTGCATGTTGAAAGTGTTTGTAGTTGACAGACCTGCTTAGCTGTATAGTGTAAGGTTTGGCACCATGAGGCCTCTTGTCTGAAACAGTGCTGTTCACCTCAGTGAGTAGTGTACCTGTATCATGCATGGAACTAAAGGATTCCATATTTGGAGCCCAGTACGGTTCATTAACATCTTTGGTTCATTAACATCTTTGGTTCATTAACACTGGTTCATTAACACGGTAACCTAGCATACTGGGTTTCACCTGCTGTCTCTTAGGTTTCACAAGCTGTCCAAGGGATTCACATATTGTTCCTTGGGTTTTATGTTCTGTTTCTTCATCTTCATGTCCTGATTTCATGTCCTGATTTCCCAGCCTGTCCCTCGTGTTTCATGTCCTGTCCCTCGTGTTTCATGTCCTGTCCCTTGTGTTTCATGTCCTGTCTCTTGTGTTTCATGTCCTGTCCCTTGTGTTTCATGTCCTGTCCCTTGTGTTTCATGTCCTGTCTCTTGTGTTTCATGTCCTGTCTCTTGTGTTTCATGTCCTGTCCCTTGGGGTTCATGTCCTGTCCCTTCATGTCCTGGTGTTCATGTCCTGTCTCTTGGGTTTCATGTCCTGTCCCTTTGTGTTTCATGTCCCCTTGGGTTTCATGTCCTGTCCTCTTTGTTTCATGTCCTGTCCCCTGTGTTTCATGTCCTGTCCCTTGTGTTTGGGGTTTCATGTCCTGTCCCTTGGTGTTTCATGTCCTGTCCCTTGTGTTTCATGTCCTGTCCCTTGTGTTTCATGTCCTGTCCCTTGTGTTTCATGTCCTGTCCCTTGTGTTTCATGTCCTGTCCCTTGTGTTTCATGTCCTGTCCCTGTGTTTCATGTGTCATGTCCTGTCCCTTGTGTTTCATGTCCTGTTCATGTCCTGTCCCTTGTGTTTCATGTCCTCTTGTGTTTCATGTCCTGTCCTTGTGTTTCATGTCCTGTCCCTTTGTGTTTCATGTCCTGTCCCTTGTCCTGTCCCTTTGAGTTTCATGTCCTGTCCCTGGGGTTTGGGTTCATGTCCTGTCCCTTGGGTTTCATGTCCTGTCCCTTGGGGGTTTCATGTCCTTTCCCTTGGTTTCATGTCCTGTCCCTTGGTGTTCATGTCCTTTCTCCTTGGGGTTCATGTCCTGTCTCTTGGGTTTCATGTGTGTCCCTTGTTTCATGTCCTGTCCCTTGGGTTTCATGTCCTGTCCCTTGGGGTTCATGTCCATGTCCTGTCCCTTGGGGTTCATGTCCTGTCCCTTGGGTTCATTCCTGTCCCTGTCAATGTCCTGTTGTGTTTCATGTCCTGTCCCTTGGGTTTCATGTCTTGTCCCTTGGGTTCATGTCCTGTCCCTTTCCTGTCCCTAGGGTTTCACAACCCATCTCTTGGGTTTCATGTCCTGCTCCTTTGGTTTCATGTCCTGTCCCTTAGGTTTCACATCCTGTCCCTTGAGTTTCATGTCTTGTCCCTTGGGTTTCACAACCCATCTCTTGGGTTTCATGTCCTGCCCTTTGGGTTTCATGTCCTGTTATTTGGGTTTCACATCCCATCTCTTTGGTTTCATGTCCTGCCCTTTTTTATCAAATCTTCTTCACCGAATCCTGATCTTCTATGTTGCAGTATGGATCCCATGAACTGTCAGCACTCCTCAGTTCCCCCATCACCTATCAGCTCACCAACCAAGTCCCCCTTCCACCGTCTGGGCAGCAGTTGTGAGAGCGAGTCCACCAGCAGCATCTACCAAACAGATGAAGCCTCTAGCACAGCCTCCCCATCCCGACCACCCGTCAGTACCACAATCACCAAGCTCAGCATACCCATCTCAGCAAATGTCCATCCCCCAGACACTCAGCCCAGTATCTCAACCACCCTCCAGTATACAGCCAACCAACATGGCGTCTACTGTACAGACGTCTAATCCATCTCACACTGATCTCACACCCAACACAGCTGACCTCTCACAAAGGTCATCTCAGATGGACCCAGCTGCTTCACCAACTGACCAAGCCGTGGACAAAAAACAGACTGTAAATCATGTCAGTGGTCAACAAGATCATGGAGACGCAGTGGATGCAGTGACCGAAGGTCAAACTGCCACCACTGGTCATCAGCAGATGATGATGCGCCAAGTGAGTGGGGACACTTCATGTTCTGAATATTCCATTTCTCCATCTCGGTTCGTGCAGTACACAGACAAACAGGCGGAGATGCAGTGTTTTTCGGCTCTGGATCATCCGCCCGACTTACAGTCAGCCAGCAAGTACATGGGATCAAGCCAGGAAGACACGTCAGGTAGGAACATGTACAGTTCAAGACAGATATGTCTCTGAGGTGGCCGTGATCACATTTTGGCATAGAGTGTTTAAGTGATTATGTTTTTTTGCTGCTTTTAGCGATATTCCAACAATATCACGGCCATGATCTCGTCAAGACCTCCATCCTGTAGGTTGATAGGAATATTCTTATAAGCAATCGGTTTTCACTAAGGCATGTTCAGGTATGAACGTGTACAGTTCATGACTGCTTAAAAGTTAGCGATCTGGCAATCTGTGAATATATCAGCATATAGGCAACACTGTGGATTGATAGGAATATTCTTGAAAACAATTGGTTTAACAAACCTGAATTTCAACAACCTTTGAGTGGGAAGATAGTGTAATTGTTTCACACACTGTGTGTGGAATGTGTTTCTTATATGTCATGCCCTTTTACTTTAGTGGGGCGGTGGGGTAGCCTAGTGGTTAAAGCGTTCGCTCGTCACACCGAAGACCCAGGTTCGATTCCCCACATGGGTACAATGTGTGAAGCCCATTTCTGGTGTTCCCTGCCGTGATATTGCTGGAATATTGCTAAAAGCGGCGTGAAACTAAACTCACTCACTCACTCACTCGCTTTACTTTAGTCAGCTTATGCACATAGATCAGATGCCATGGACATCCATTACAGTATATTTTCTATACTTACTCTCCTAAGTAATCAGTACTGGCGATGTATCTGCAGGTGAGTCCCCAATACAGTACTGAGAAGACATCGGATCTGCAGCCTGATCCACTCCACCTTCCAGGTCAGTTGTCCATGTACTTCCTGAAGACATACAATCTGTCCAAAGACCTACTGTTTGTCGTTTAATGTCGCACTTAGCAATTTTCCAGCTATTTTATTTTTATTTTATTTTGTTTTCCACTTTATTTCTTTTTTACGCATTGGTACAGTTTTATCATTCATACACAGCATTATTTCAAATACACAGCACAATAAGTAACAAGCAAGTGAGATCTAGTAGGTTATGTAAATAAGTTGTGGCATGATGACCAGAAAGTCGTGAACTTGCTATATTTGCATACAGAGTATGCATTATATTAGTGGAAATTGTAACTGTGGTTTAATTTGGCTTTGAGACTTTCAAGGGTTGGACGTATATTTGCTAGTTTTGGAATATATATATTCCTTTGTTATGATAAATAAAGTTCAGAACATCGCTACGTTTTTCATGAAAGCCCAAAAGGATTGTTTTCGGATCCAGGTTTATAGTAGTGTCTGTTTTATCTTCAATCCAATTTAAAAGGTCTTGCCACAGCCTATTTACGTATCTGCATTCAAACATCAAATGAACGATTGTTTCTTTTTCAGCCTTGCAAAATGTACATAGTGGTGATTCTAATATATTATAGTTGTATAAGTCTTTATTGGTTGTGAGAATTCTGTGGACAATACGATATTGAAACCATCTTTCATTAGTGTTCTGAACAGCTATTTGTTGTTTGTTCGTAACTAATCGGGTCTGGAAAAGACAGTCAAGTGATCAACAGCGTGAGCATCAATCAATTGCGATACAATGACATAATATGTCAACCAAGTCAGTGAGTCTGACCACCAGATCCTGTCAGTCGTCTCTTACATTTTACAACTAGCATGGGTTGCTGAAGACTAGTTCTAACTCAGATTGTGACGTGTGCAATAGTTTGCTCCATCCCATGTGAAATGGGGGCTAGCAGATCCTGTGTCACTCTGCCAGATAGTCCAGACACTAAAGAGGTGTGATTTGTCTGAGGAAATAGCTTCCAATGCAAGACATTTGAAGTGAGGAGTGTATGTTGAATGATGGCTGTGTGACCTCCAGATGGACTCTTATCAACCCCTCATGTTTAAAGTTTGTTGTAAAGCTGTGTAGTAGTAGGTACCCCATGATTCTGATCTTAAGGAGGGGTTCTTATTCTGATATTCCAAATACTCAGATTAGTATTTTTCTCAGGAAGCCCAAGGCAGGGCTGTACAGTCTGGGAGACCTGATGGAGAAGCTTGGTCCAGGTGTGCCAGGTGAGTTGATGACCTCTCCCTACCTGTAGTACCTATCTCCATCTGTAGTACCTACCTCCACCTGTAGGAAGTTCCCACTACCTGTAGTACTTACCTCCATCTGTAGGAAGTTCCCACTACCTGTAGTACCTACCTCCACCTGTAGGAAGTTCCCATTACCTGCAGTACTTACCTCCACCTGTAGGAAGTTCCCACTACCTGTAGTACCTACCTCCACCTGTAGGAAGTTCTCACTACCTGTAGTACCTACCTCCACCTGTAGGAAGTTCCCACTACCTGTAGTACCTACCTCCACCTGTAGGAAGTTCCCACTACCTGTAGTACCTACCTCCACCTGTAGGAAGTTCCCACTACCTGTAGTACCTACCTCCACCTGTAGGAAGTTCCCACTACCTGTAGTACCTACCTCCACCTGTAGGAGGTTCCCACTACCTGTAGTACCTACCTCCACCTGTAGGAAGCTCCCACTACCTGTAGTACCTACCTCCACCTGTAGGAAGTTCCCACTACCTGTAGTACCTACCTCCACCTGTAGGAAGTTCCCACTACCTGTAGTACCTACCTCCACCTGTAGGAAGTTCCCACTACCTGTAGTACCCATTCTTACCTCCACCTGTAGGAAGTTCCCACTACCTGTAGTACCTACCTCCACCTGTAGGAAGTTCCCACTACCTGTAGTACCTACCTCCACCTGTAGGAAGTTCCCACTACCTGTAGTACTTACCTCCACCTGTAGGAAGTTCCCACTACCTGTAGTACCTACCTCCACCTGTAGGAAGTTCCCACTACCTGTAGTACCTACCTCCACCTGTAGGAAGTTCCCACTACCTGTAGTACCTACCTCCACCTGTAGGAAGTCCCCACTACCTGTAGTACTTACCTCCACCTGTAGGAAGTTCCCACTACCTGTAGTACCTACCTCCACCTGTAGGAAGTTCCCACTACCTGTAGTACCTGCCTCCACCTGTAGGAAATTCCCACTACCTGTAGTACTTACCTCTACCTGTAGGAAGTTCCCACTACCTGTAGTACCTACCTCCACCTGTAGGAAGTTCCCACTACCTGTAGTACCTACCTCCACCTGTAGGAAGTTCCCACTACCTGTAGTACCTACCTCCACCTGTAGGAAGTTCCCACTACCTGTAGTACCTACCTCCACCTGTAGGAAGTTCCCACTACCTGTAGTACCTACCTCCACCTGTAGGAAGCTCCCACTACCTGTAGTACCTGCCTCCACCTGTAGGAAGTTCTCACTACCTGTAGTACCTACCTCCAGCTGTAGGAAGTTCCCACTACCTGTAGTACCTACCTCCACCTGTAGGAAGTTCCCACTACCTGTAGTACTTACCTCCACTTGTAGGAAGTTCCCACTACCTGTAGTACCTGCCTCCACCTGTAGGAAGTTCTCACTACCTGTAGTACTTACCTCCACCTGTAGGAAGTTCCCACTACCTGTAGTACTTACCTCCACCTGTAGGAAGTTCCCACTACCTGTAGTACCTGCCTCCACCTGTAGGAAGTTCCCACTACCTGTAGTACTTACCTCCACTTGTAGGAAGTTCCCACTACCTGTAGTACCTGCCTCCACCTGTAGGAAGTTCCCACTACCTGTAGTACCTACCTCCACCTGTAGGAAGTTCCCACTACCTGTAGTACCTACCTCCACCTGTAGGAAGTTCCCACTACCTGTAGTACCTACCTCCACCTGTAGGAAGTTCCCACTACCTGTAGTACCTACCTCCACCTGTAGGAAGTTCCCACCACCTGTAGTACCTACCTCCACCTGTAGGAAGTTCCCACTACCTGTAGTACCTGCACCTCCACCTGTAGGAAGTTCCCACCACCTGTAGTACCTACCACCACCACCTGTAGGAAGTTCCCACTACCCGTAGTACCTTACCTCCACCTGTAGGAAGTTCCCACTACCTGTAGTACCTACCTCCACCTGTAGGAAGTTCTCACTACCTGTAGTACCTACCTCCACCTGTAGGAAGTTCCCACTACCTGTAGTACCCACCTCCACCTGTAGGAAGTTCCCACCACCTGTAGTACTTACCTCCACCCTGTAGGAAGTTCCCACTACCTGTAGTACCCACCTCCACCTGTAGGAAGTTCCCACTACCTGTAGTACTTACCTCCACCTGTAGGAAGTTCCCACTACCTGTAGTACCTACCTCCACCTGTAGGAAGTTCCCACTCACCTGTAGTACCCACCTCCACCTGTAGGAAGTTCCCACTACCTGTAGTACCTTGCTCCCACCACCCCTCCACCTGTAGGAAGTTCCCACCACCTGTAGTACCTACCTCCACCTGTAGGAAGTTCCCACTACCTGTAGTACCTACCTCCACCTGTAGGAAGTTCCCACTACCTGTAGTACCTGCCTCCACCTGTAGGAAGTTCTCACTACCTGTAGTACCTACCTCCACCTGTAGGAAGTTCCCACTACCTGTAGTACCTGCCTCCACCTGTAGGAAGTTCTCACTACCTGTAGTACCTACCTCCACCTGTAAGAAGCTCCCACTACCTGTAGTACCTACGTCCACCTGTAGGAAGCTCCCACTACCTGTAGTACCTTTTTCCCCCTGTAGGCCCTGTCTCCACCTTTAAAGAACCACTAAACTTTGTTTTTTGTTACTCTTTTAACCATTACATATGAAAGATTTGTGGTTAGTCTTATGCGGAACACCAAATTTATTCTTTAAAAACTTGTGGTTAATTAATACCGAGCGATTAAAAGTGGCCAAAAAGTCGCCTCTCCTCCTCCTCACCAACCAAAACCACAGACAGGTTACGTGAACTCTGTCAGCTCAGAGCACTGCAGCAAGACGCCATGAGAGGAATCCATTTTCAGTTTAGTTGTATAGAAAAATGTGTAGCACGCTTCATCATTTTGATGATTTCGACATCAACTAATTCCATTACGTCAATCGCTGCTTTGTCGTCACTGCTCCTAGGGGTCGCATGATGGTGTCCCCATGCACAGATTTCCACAGGACCCCCGAAGAGTTCGTATAATGGGTTGTGTTTGTGAGTGCTAAGCGAGCTAGGGAAGCCTGAAACGACATCTTACTTGTGTTCAGATCGCTTCACGAAGTTAAAGAATCAAAACTACTTACCAGTTGTAGTAAAATATGCATATGATTGATGACCATAAAGATTTCTATGACACAACTTGTAATGATAACGATTTCTTTCCTCGGAAGTGAGGTTGTGGTCAAGTAACAATAATATTGTGTAGTATTATATTAATCTACCTCAGCCTAATGCAGAGAAATTGTTATAATATATCGCTTATGTCATGCAAAAATCCTATTGGCTATCATTAAAATACATATTTACTATTAGTAGAAGTAGTTTTGATTTTTAGAACTCGGGTGAAAACAAACCTAAATACCATTTATCCCTCAGACCGGGCGGATGTTCCCGATAGGTTTCAGCCATTTTTAAAAATAAAAAAATCTGTTAGAATTAATGAGATTATAGTTTGTTTTCACTGCTAGAAAATCAAGACTACTTTCTACTCAGGTTGTTAAATATGTATTGGAATCATAACCAAACGGATTTTGCATGACACAACTTATAACATAACGCATTTCTTTCCACGGAAGCAGGTGGGGGTCGGAAGTCACAATACTGCGCCGATAAATTTCTTGCTACATACACATGGTTAATGTCCACTCACCAGTATGTAGATACTAGTCAATGTGCGTCTTTATATTTGGTCTTATAATCCTAATTAGTTTATTATCACACTTGTATGCATTTTGAAACTAAATAAAAAGCAGACGATCTGCTGATACTTATAGTGAATTTATAACAGAACTGTAATATCTAGACATTTTATAGTTTGCCAATGTGAATCATAATTCGCACACACACCCTAGTGCATGTTGTCCACCTTCTATCTATAGTACTATTTCCTGTCTTTTGTGCCACCTTCTATCTATAGTACCACCTTCTATCTATAGTACCACCTTCTATCTATAGCACCACCTTCTATCTATAGTACCACCTTCTATCTATAGCACCACCTTCTATCTATAGTACTATTTTCTGTCTGTTGTGCCACCTTCTATCTATAGTACCACCTTCTATCTATAGTACCACCTTCTATCTATAGTGCCACCTTCTATCGATAGTGCCACCTTCTATCTATAGTACCACCTTCTATCTATAGTGCCACCTTCTATCTATCGTACCACCTTCTATCTATAGTACCCTTTTCTGTCTGTTGTGCCACCTTCTATCTATAGTACCACCTTCTATCTATAGTGCCACCTTCTATCTATAGTACCACCTTCTATCTATAGTACCATTTTCTGTCTGATGTGCCACCTTCTATCTATAGTACCACCTTCTATCTATAGTACCACATTCTATCTATAGTACCACCTTCTATCTATAGCACCACCTTCTATCTATAGTACCACCTTCTATCTATAGCACCACCTTCATCTATAGTACTATTTTTGTGCCATCCTAGTGCCACCTTCATCTATAGTACCACCTCTCTATCTATAGTAAACCCTCATCCCTTCTTCTATCTATAGTGCCACCTTCTATCTATATAGTACCACCCTCATTTCTCTGTCTATAGTGCCACCTTCTCATCTATAGTACCACCTTCTCATCTATAGTACCCCTTTTCTGTCTGTTGTGCCACCTCTCTATCTATAGTACCACCTTCATCTATAGTGCCACCTTCATCTATAGTACCACCTTCTATCTATAGTACCCTTTCTGTCTGTTGTGCCACCTTCATCTATAGTACCATTTTCTGTCTGTTGTGCCACCTTCTCATCTATAGTACCACCTTCTATCTATAGTACCCATTTTTCTGTCTGTTGTGCCACCTTCTATCTATATAGTACCACCTTCTGTATGCCACCTATAGTACCACCTTCTAAAGTCTATAGTACCACCTTCTATCTATAGTACCATTTTCTATCAGTTGTGCCACCTTCATCTATAGGTGTACCACCTTCTATCTATAGTACCACCTTCTCATCTATAGTACCATTCTATCTATAGTACTATTTTCTGTCTGTTGTGCCACCTTCTATCTATAGTACCACCTTCTATCTATAGCACCACCTTCTATCTATAGTACCACCTTCTATAGTCTATAGTACCACCATCTATCTATAGTACCATTTTCTGTCTGTTGTGCCACCTTCTATCTATAGTACCACCTTCTATCTATAGTACCACCTTCTATCTATAGTACCATTTTCTCTGTCTGTTGTGCCACCTTCTATCTATATAGTACCATCCCTTCTCCTTCATCTTATAGTACTATTTTCTGTCTGTTGTGCCACCTTCTATCTATAGTACCACCTTCTATCTATAGTACCACCTTCTATCTGTAGTACCACCTTCTATCTATAGTACCACCTTCTATCTATAGTGCCACCTTCTATCTATAGTGCAACCTTCTATCTATAGTACCACCTTCTATCTATAGTACCACCTTCTATCTATAGTACTATTTCCTGTCTTTTGTGCCACCTTCTATCTATAGTACCACCTTCTATCTATAGTACCATTTTCTGTCTGTTGTGCCACCTTCTATCTATAGTACCACTTTCTATCTATAGCACCACCTATCTATAGTACTATTTTCTGTCTGTTGTGTCACCTTTTATCTATAGTACCTCATTCTATCTATAGTACCACCTTCTATCTATAGTACCACCTTCTATCTATAGTGCCACCTTCTATCTATAGTGCCCCCTTCTATCTATAGTGCCACCTTCTATCTAAAGTACCATCTTCTATCTATAGTACCACCTTCTATCTATAGTGCCACCTTCTATCTATAGTACCACCTTCTATCTATAGTACCACCTTCTATCTATAGTACCATTTTCTGTCTGTTGTACCACCTTCTATCTATAGTACCACCTTCTATCTATAGTACCATTTTCTGTCTGTTGTGCCACCTTCTATCTATAGTACCACCTTCTATCTATAGCACCACCTTCTATCTATAGTACTATTTTCTGTCTGTTGTGCCACCTTCTATCTAAAGTACCACCTTCTATCTATAGTACCATTTTCTGTCTGTTGTGCCACCTTCTATCTATAGTACCACCTTTCTAGCACCATCTATAGCACCACCTTCTATCTATAGTACTATTTTCTATCTATAGTACCACCTTCTATCTATAGCACCACCTTCTATCTATAGTACCATTTTCTGTCTGTTGTGCCACCTTCTATCTATAGTACCACCTTCTATCTATAGTACCACCTTCTATCTATAGTACTATTTTCTATCTATAGTACCACCTTCTATCTATAGAACTATTTTCTGTCTGTTGTGCCACCTTCTATCTATAGTACCACCTTCTATCTATAGTACCACCTTCTATCTATAGTACCACCTTCTATCTATAGTACTATTTTCTGTCTGTTGTGCCACCTTCTATCTATAGTACCACCTTCTATCTATAGTACCATTTTCTGTCTGTTGTGCCACCTTCTATCTATAGTACCACCTTCTATCGATAGCACCACCTTCTATCTATAGTACTATTTTCTGTCTGTTGTGCCACCTTCTATCTATAGTACCACCTTCTATCTATAGTACCACCTTCTATCTATAGTACCACCTTATATCTATAGTTCCACCTTCTATCTATAGTACCACCTTCTATCTATAGTACCACCTTCTATCTATAGTACCACTTCTATCTATAGTCTATAGTACCACCTTCTATCTATAGTACCACCTTCTATCTGTAGTACCATTTTCTAACGGTTGTGCAACCTTCTATCTATAGTACCACCTTCTATCTATAGTACCATTTTCTGTCTGTTGTGCCACCTTCTATCTATAGTACCACCTTCTATCTATAGTACCACCTTCTATAGTCTATAGTACCACCTTCTATCTATAGTACCACCTTCTATCTATAGTACCACCTTCTATCTATAGTACCACCTTCTATCTATAGTACCACCTTCTTTCTATAGTACCACCTTCTATCTATAGTACCATTTTCTGTCTGTTGTGCCACCTTCTATCTATAGTGCCACCTTCTATCTATAGTACCACCTTCTATCTATAGTACCATTTTCTGTCTGTTGTGCCACCTTCTATCTATAGTACCACCTTCTATCTATAGTACCACCTTCTATCTATAGTACCACCTTCTATCTATAGTACCACCTTCTATCTATAGTACCACCTTCTATCTATAGTACCACCTTCTATCTATAGTACCATTTTCTGTCTGTTGTGCCACTCCCTACCTGCAGGTCCTCTCTCCGCTCATAGAGCTTCTCCCTGTCATTATTGCTGAGTGTGATGTTAAGAAACAAACAAATCCTAAAGCATGTGTGCTCCAACTTCCCTTTCAGGATATGGCATTCTTGATGTACTACTCTCCTGCAACAACTTACAACACGTACTGTACAGCTTGCTGATTGGTCGAACAGTCCTTGTTGTCGGCTCGCCTAGACTAGAAGGGGAGGTAATCAGGATAGTGACAGCACTGGCTCTGTTCCTGCCAGACCACCGGAGGTAACTGACCAGCACCTGTTGCTCAAAGCGATCTTAGTGCTACGACTGTCGCAAATAACGGGGTTACGGTCACCTATGTGCTAAGATCGCTTTGTGCAACTGGGCCCTTTGATTATGGGCTTATATCTGATAAAGCATGGATTGTTCATTTTTTATCACCAACCTGATAATTATTATTGTTACTTATGCAGGTTTTTTGTTTGATTCTAATCAAGCTGAGATTTTATGACACAATGTGACACTTTGAACAACAAAATCAACAAAGATTTAAGACAAAACTGTAATCATTTTCCTCATTATTTCATTGTATTACTTCCTCATCTCGAACAGCTGTATACTCCATAGGGAGCTGAGAATTGAAACAGAGCATACTTATCTACTAACAGTGTTAATATTAGCTCTTTTGGTAGTGCTCTAAATGTTTTTGTTTTTAGTAGCATGGCACTACATGCAATATCAAAGCTGATGATAAACCAGCTTAGAACAAAAGAGACACTGTGTTGCATTTCTCAAGTAGACAGACAGAATTAAAGTGAATTTTAGCTCTGTCACACTGTTGCAGTATTTCAGAGATAGGTGATGAGGTTCTGTTAAATACCCAAGCCTTGTGCCACATAGAGCTGTTGTTGATACTGGTTTAGATAACCAGGGGTATTCTCGGGACGTGGACACCCTGTGTTGTGTAAAAACAAAGTCCAGAAAAAAGTGTCCACTTCGTGCGAATGGGTTACTGAGCTAATTAACGCCAGGCAATAGACAGAGTGTGTGATGGCAAGACTTTGGGCAATACCAGATTGTGAAATTATAAGGAAACGAAACAAGTTTCTTTTTTTTCTCAATTTTAATAAATAAGACACTGTGTCGGCAAACACAATGACGCTGATGGCCCCACGGTCCAATCTGACTACCTCTGTGACCTTGTTCCTAAATTTGTCTCAGAATACAGTCAATATAATCTCCGTAATAAATCTGAGCTACAAACAATAAATTGTAGGACTGAAAAATATGAACAATCGTTCCTACCTGACACAATTAAAATTTGGAATTAATTACCTGATAATTTTGTATTCGCTAATTTGATCGGTGAATTCAAATCTCTGCTTAAAAATGATGAATAAAATATTTTAATATATCTGAATTATGTTAGAAATGATACCTATTTCTATGTAAATGTCCATAGTCTCCAAACTGTGTTATACGGAATACCTCCAGCTGACAACGATGTCAATAAGAACATAATAGAGTCCCTGCATCAATACATCTTTAAGTCTAAACTACTTGATAAATTATTCTAGACAAATATACACTAAACGCCAAAAGAAACGTTACCCTCCTTCCTTAATGACGGAGGTACCTATCTTCAACTGGCGTTGTGATGCGTGAACGTCCACTTCTTGGTCTGTCTACGGTGACCCCAGTCTGTCTGAAGCCCTGAGTAAGTCTTATAACCCTGATATGGTGGCATCCGAGGGCGTTGGCAACAGCATTGTATGTCGACCCCATCTCCACCATCCCAATGGGCTACCTCTCTCTTCAGCTGTTAATCGTGGCATATTTCTCGTACTTGTGTATCATATCATCTTTTGTAGGCTCTCTTCATACCCTATAGAATCATTCTACATGTGAAATGGATGCAAATACTGCTTGAATATTGCTGCGTATTGCAATATATTGCTGTGCGTAAACAGAAAATGGAAAAATGTTACTTTGCAAGCCAGAATGTTAACAAAGATCATTGTAGAAGTTCCTAAACATGTTTTCACAATATCAAAGACACGTTTTACATGTTTTTATTAATGCAAATCACCAGAAAATGTTTTAAAAGACTGAAATCATAGGAATGATTATTTTACAATTTGACACACTCTACAACAGTTGTTTCTTGTTTTAATGGTTGGAAAATGGTGACTTTAAATGGTTTACCTTTGTCCCAAAGTAGAATTTCATTTCAACCTCTCTTTTGGACATCTAAATCACTGTTATTGGTTTATTTCGGCATGGACGAAAATAGGACAATTTAACTCTTCTGAAAAAGATGCATTTCACCTAAATATGAATGCATTTGAGAAATTTTTTTTGTGATTTGCATAAAGCTGTGTTGTTAAGCTTCTTGTAAACAACATATCTTTGATAGTTTTTAAGTAATTCATAAAGGTAGGAGGGTAACGTTTCTTTTGGCGTGTAGTGTATGTAAACAATTAATGAAGTATAACTGCGGGCTCAAGGTTTATAAGCACCAACAACGCACATATATGATTTAATTTGTCGTTTTGTATATCCAGTTCCTGTGTATTTTGTTTAAATGATATATGTACTGGTGAGGTATGGACATAGCAAAGTTCTGCTCGTTTACCAAACCAGATTCTTCAGGAATAAAAATATGTTTAAACCAAACAATTTCTGAGTGAACTCACTCACCTACCAGTTCACAAAACCTTAACAATTCCCGGATAACAGTTGACATTTTAACACTTCCCAATCAGTTAATGCCTTACAAGAACAACAGACGACATCAAAGTACACCGCCTCACTCAGTGTGAGATAAAAGGGTTCACTGTTCATAGATTTGTTTCGGGGCTATTAGTTAGTCGAACACTCAAGTGTAACACTATGACATTCTTTGAAACTACCCTGTGACCAAATCTCCACAGGATAGATCAATTATTTTTCATGTAACAGAAGAATCAGTTCATAATTTACCAATATAGTATGTTATTTAGTTTTCTTTGTATTTAATAGATGCAGTATCCATTGTAACAGTGATCCATGTTGTTGATTCAGGAAGCACCCATCTATGATAGAATGGCTGTCTAAACCCTTCAGACTCACAGATCTGGCTCGTACAAAGCTGGCCCGGTGTGTGTCGCCCCGAGAAACGACCTCTGGAGTCTGTGGTTCCCAGTGTCGTCAAGGTAACACACAGCCTCAATAATCCAGACAAAACTGTGGATATTGTGGATTAAGGAGTTTACAGGTTAATGATTGACATTTAAAGATATCATTTTTGGGACCCATTTACACCTTGCCCATAGTACAGCTCTGCTGAATGTCTAGCAAAAAATAATAATATAGAGAACTGACTGCCTCATGCTTCTCAACTGTGTGGAGTTATTTCCCTTGGTATATACTTTCAGTGGACCAATACCAATACTGTCAAGGAGATCACAGTGTCACACTAAATATAGGGAATTGGGCATTACAGCAGTTCATATATGTACAAGTACAACCTTCATCAGGGGTGGAAATAACCCATTGCCCGACGCCCGAGTCCAGTGTTTTTTTCTGTGGGGCAAGCAGATTTGTATATCACACTGTACCGGTGTCCAGTTGATATTCCAATGTTAATTATGTTGTTTATTTAAAAAATCAACAAGAAAATGGCCGGTATAGTGGAAAAATTATCAGGGCAAGTGATTTTACATGTGCCACTGTACCGGAGTACACTAGCAATTTTAAAGTTATTTCCACCCCTGTTCATTGATTATGGAGTAATACCAAGTTATAGCAATTTTTCGCAGATCCGCAGATTTCCGATGATTTTATTGCAAATTGATCAATTCTGTGAATCGTCTGAACCCCCCATTCGATGACACAATATTAAGTTTTCAGCTGAAAATAGATTTTCCTGTTGCCATCCCTGAATACATTGAAATAACATCAATGAATATTTGATTAAGCTCCAAAATGTTGAATACTTCTTTCATTAAAGTAAAACTGGTTGACTCCACAGTGACTTAACCTATTGTTTTTTTCTGTCTTTATTTGTGTTTTTCATTGTTGTTCACTTATACAATGTTCAATCTATATTTGCTTTCCAGAAATATTCGTCTGTAATTGACGTTGACAGACAAGGCATTCTAGCCCAAATACCAGGTAATAACTTGATACTGGAACAGCTGGCTTAATGTGTGAATTCTGACATATTTGATTTTGATGTGATGCATACAGTTATCCCAAACATAAATTATTCAATCTAGCTTCCTTTGAATATGTTTGTACAATGACTTCCCGGTATGCTTCATTATTTCTTTCATCAACTTGATAGTATTTTGAAATATCTTAAATTTCAACTTACCAGTACATATATCTTGAAATCTCAACACAGCTTCTTGAAATTTCCAGAAAAAATACAAAACCTAATGGCGCTACTTTAAACCACTTTATAAATGTTAACTTAATCTTAAGATAAATTTGGGGCGGTAGGGTAGCCTGGTGGTTAAAGCGTTGGCTCGTCACGCCGAGGACCCGGGTTCGAATCCCCACATGGGTACAATGTGTGAAGCCCATTTCTGGTGTCCCTCGCTGTGATGTTGCTGGAATATTGCTAAAAGCGGGGTAAAACCAAACTCACTCACTCACTTAGGATTAATTTTAGTTCAACTTTGAGAAGCAATGGCTATGGCTGAACCAATAACCCCATTATCAGAACCAGCTTGGTGATTCTCTACGGCGTTCACTGATGGAGTAGTGATATCTGTGATAGTCCTCTCATATTTTAGCTCTGAAAAGTAGGCCTGAAATGGCAGGGATGAAAAATAGACATCGATATAGGCAGGTGGGCACTCTCACCTGGAATATGAACCTTTGGACCTTTTTGTATAGAGATAGTCCAGAGCTTTGGAAGCTGTTCATCACACCAATTAAGGAACCTGTTGAAATATTACAACAGACTCCAAATGTTATACATGAAATTGGTATTTAACTGTTGGCATGCATCTGGAATGTTCCGTGAGGAAAGTTTTCTTTTATTACAGGGTAATCTTCTAACAGCATTGATAAGCAAGAAGAAGGTTTTCAATACAGATACAGAATTTGTAGCCTACATCCACTGGTAAGTAGAAACATGACCTTGGGGTTCTATCATTGTATTCTGATAAATATTCATGGTATACATGAAGGGGGCAAGAGGGCCCAGTTATCTCTTGGTGTCCATTGGTCGTGCCAGAATTGCGGTTCGAATCCTGGTTTCTGGGTTTGTCTGCACCCTACCCTGCTGGTGGATGTTGCGATATGCTGCTGAATGTGAAATATGAAGGTGTTCATGAATGTAAATGTAAATATTGTGTGGACGGAGGGTTTGCCATGTATTGACTGAGACATGTGTTGAATCAGAACTCACAGATCTGATTTTGATGACGTTTTAGTACAATATACAGTGATGGATAGTGTGTTATATCAGAATGTATTACAAGAGAGGGGGATCTGTATATATAGTTGTATTGTATTTTCTCTGCCCTAATGTTTGTGACTGTTGTCATGTATGTATGTGACTGTTGTCATGTATGTTTGTGAAAGTGATGTCATGTATGTTTGTGACTGATGTCATGTATGTTTGTGAGAGTGATGTATGTTTGTGAAAGTGATGTGTCATGTATGTTTGTGACTGTTGTCATGTATGTTTTGTGTCATGTATGAGTGATGTCATGTTGTGTTTGTGTCATGATGTTGTGATGTCATGTATGTTTGTCATGTATGTTTGTGACTGTCATGTATGTTTGTGAGAGTGATGTCATGTATGTTTGTTGATGTCTGATGTTTGAGTTGTCATGTATGTTTGTGACTGTTGTCATGTATGTTTGTGAGAGTGAGTGATGTTGTCATGTATGTTTCATGTCATGTATTGTGAGTATGTTTTGTCATGTATGTGTTTGTGACTGTTGTCATGTATGTTTGTGAGAGTGATGTCATGTATGTTTGTGACTGATGTCATGTATGTTTGTGAGTGTGATGTCATGTATGTTTGTGAGAGTGATGTCATGTATGTTTGTGAGAGTGATGTCATGTATGTTTGTGACTGTTGTCATGTATGTTTGTGAGAGTGATGTCATGTATGTTTGTGAGTGATGTCATGTATGTTTGTGAGTGTGTTGTCATGTATGTTTGTGAGAGTGATGTGTCATGTATGATGTCATGTATGTTTGTGACTGTTGTCATGTATGTTTATGTTGTCATGTGTGTGATGTCATGTATGTTTGTGACTGATGTCATGTATGTTTGTGAGTGATGTCATGTATGTTTGTGAAAGTGATGTCATGTATGTTTGTGACTGTTGTCATGTATGTTTGTGAGAGTGATGTCATGTATGTTTGTGACTGATGTCATGTATGTTTTGTGTTTGTGACTGATGTCATGTATGTTTGTGACTGTTGTCATGTATGTTGATGTCATGTATGTTTGTGACTGTTGTCATGTATGTTTGTGACTGTGTTGTCATGTATGTTTGTGACTGTTGTCATGTATGTTTGTGAGTGATGTCATGTATGTCATGTATGTTTGTGAAGTATTGTCATGTATGTTTGTGATGTATGATGTCATGTATGTTTGTGACTGTTGTCATGTATGTTTGTATGTTTCATGTATGTTTGTGACTGTTGTCATGTATGTTTGTTTGTGATGTCTGTTTTGTCATGTATGTGAGTGATGTCATGTATGTCATGTATGTTTGTGAGTGATGTCATGTATGTTTGTGTCATGTCATGTATGTTTGTGAGATGTTTGTATTGTCATGTATGTTTGTGACTGTTGTCATGTATGTTTGTGAAAGTCGATGTCATGATGTTTGTGACTATTGTCATGTATGTTTTGAGAGTATTATCATGTAGAGTGATGTCATGTATGTTTGTGACTGTGTTGTCATGTATATTCATGACTGTTGTCATGTATATTTTATGATGAATGTTTATGACTGTCCCTGCAGCTGGTTGATGGAGCTGTCATCCAAGGCCTTCATCTTCTACCACTCCTTCTGTCTGGGCACCGCTGGCATCATGTAGTAAGTCCTCCATCTTGTTCCAGTAATGAAAAGCAGCCAGGCTGCTGAATCTCTTCACTTGGTAGAGTAGCTTCCCTTAGGCTTGGCAGGATTCGATTATGTATCCTGTGATGTTGCTGAACAACTGATCTTGTAGTTCTGCAGTAGTCCTTTGTCTGCAACTCATCCCCTCCCAGATATTGTAGGTATAATTATGATACATTTTTTGTCAGCAACTAACCTTTACATGTATTTAATCATTTTTACCAAAGTGCAAATATTCATGAATCAGGCCCTCATCTTCAGTCACTGTGATAAGTCCAGATTTACTGCCAACAAACCACTGACCTACCCGTGAAAATCCAGGTTAGAATTGGTCGTCAGCAAACCATGTTTGTCGTAAGAGACGATTTTAATGGGATCATGGTCACACATGTCATCGTATCAAAATTGCGTAGATTGATGCTCATGCTGTCGATCACTGATTGTTCAGAGTTGATTATTTACTGAACGCCGCCATATAGCTGTAATATTGCAGAATGGAGCATTATACAACAATCAATCAATCAATGTTTTACCAGTGACTTGGCTGAAATCTATTTTGATACACATACAGTCTAATCCTGATGAGTCGAATCGCTGGGGACCAAGTAATACATTCGACTTATTGATGTATTCAAGACATAGGTATGTCTATGATGGTAGAAAAAAAGATGATCCCGTCCTAATTGCTCCACCTAAGCATTTGTTTACCTTATGATTTCCCTATCACTAATAGGGGCACCTTATCAGTTCCAGTCTGATTAGCACAGACAGTGATTTCCGTAAAATCACTAATCTGCCTTTTGAACTCACCTGTCAATGGCGGAAAGGTGTGAGCCGAGCTGGTTTGTTAATTGGATCAGTTTGCTACACCAATCAACTTCTCATTGACTGACTTCGGCTTATGTATACAAGATTGCTGGTGTTTGAATCTCATGGGACCAAATTTCCTTCTCGAGTCATCGTGTGCATTTATGAGACGAATTCGTGTAACCGGTATTCAAATGATGACAACTATAACGGGGAATGGTTCGGGACCGACAGGTACTTCGAGTTATGCATAATATTCGAGACACCGGCATTCGACTCATTGGGATTTGACTATATGATATAATCTGACCATGCATAAACTGAAGTTAACTGAAGCTTTATTTGTATTCAAACATGAAAGAAGCCGTGGATATGTGTATATCTGAAATACAAACATAAGTGACGTAGAGCTGAGCAATGGCGTTCTATTGTATTGTCATGAAACAATATATCATCTGTCTTGGCATAGGTCCGAGTGGAGTTCTATTGTATTGTCATGAAACAATATGTCATCTGACTTGGCATAGGTCCGAGTGGAGTTCTATTGTATTGTCATGAAACAATATGTCATCTGGCTTGGCATAGGTCGAGTGGAGTTCTATTGTATTGTCATGAAACAATATATCATCTGACTTGGCATAGGTCCGAGTGGAGTTCTATTGTATTGTCATGAAACAATATGTCATCTGACTTGGCATAGGTCCGAGTGGAGTTCTATTGTATTGTCATGAAACAATATATCATCTGTCTTGTCATAGGTCCGACAGGAGTTCTATTGTATTGTCATGAAACAATATATCATCTGACTTGTCATTGGACTGAGTGGAGTTCTATTGTATTGTCATGAAACAATATATCATCTGACTTGGCATAGGTCCAAGTGGAGTTCTATTGTGTTGTCATGAAACAATATATCATCTGACTTGGCATAGGTCCGAGTGGAGTTCTATTGTGTTGTCATGAAACAATATGTCATCTGTCTTGTCATAGGTCCGAGTATTCGAACTCAGAAACCACACCACCCCAAGTACCCAACTTAGCGATGCCAGCTTGACAGGCAGACATTATGTCATTGCGATATTTTCAAATCAGTATCAAAGCCTCCTCACAAACATGCATTACAAGGCAGTGTATACTCCTTACAGTGACCAGAACCTGCAGAGACAGAAGGAACAGTACCAAAGCACTGTGAGGAGCTTCATAGCCAAGCTAGGGGTCACCGATGATGATATTCATATAGTAGAGGTAGGTCTTTTTGATGGTGGACAATAATTAGAAGTAACTTTAGTCTATTGGATGTGATCTATGTAGAAAAGGAGAAATGAAAGACACGATGGGAGCTTCAGGACCAACAAGATAGAAGGAAGGCAGGTGGAGTGATGTCATTTTCCAGGAAGAAGGAGAGAGGGAAAAGACAATCCAGTGATCAGCATCATGAGCATCGATCTATGCAAGTGTGTCAACCAAGTCAGCGAGCCTGACCACACGACCCCGTACGTTAGTCGCTTCTTACGACAAGCATGGGTTACTGAAGACCAATACTAACCCAGATCTTCACGGGTATACAGTATTTATGTGTTCATAAGAGCAGTTCAAACTTGTTTTACACATCAACTGCTGCAATAAGTGTAACTTCTTTGAAACTCCGAAACCTAGGTCAATACCATACCATATTCTCTGCTCTCAACAGAGGACGGTAACTAAAGATTTCCTAAGGATGTTTGTTATGTTGGATTTCTTGGCATCTATTTGGCTGTATTTGTGTCATGACAGGCAGTGGGGGTGAGTGAGTGAGTTGAGTTTTACGCTGCAATATCATGGTGGGGAACACCAGAAATCGTAGCATTTGAATCTCCTATACTGTAACATAGGAGGTACGAATGCTACGAGAAAAGTTACGAGATCTTAGGCTTACGAGAGCTTTGAGAAACGGGGCCCTGGGTCTCAAGAGTGATGAGCGAAAGCTTTAACCACTAGGCTACACTGCCGCATCGCACATATGATCAAAAAGGAAGAGTGAAATAGTGGACAATCTGAAAAAAATCTACTTTTTAGATTCCTTTCAAACTTTAAAACTCAGTTTTATTGTTGACCTGCATTAGAATCATTTTGAGACCTGTACACCAAAACATGCCTGAAAGACCACAAAAGTACCCAACCAATCCAGCGTTTAAATAAGGATGACCTCAAATGGACCCATGTGGGGAAACAAACCTGGGTCTTAAGCATAACGAGCGAACGCTTTAACCACTAGGCTACCCCACTGCCCTCAAGTTTTCTCGTCATACTGAAGACCTACTCATGGTTCACTGAGTACAACATGTAAAAGCCATTTCTGCCGTTCCTTGGCGTTATGTTGCAAGAGTATTGCGGTAAAGAGTAAAGCAGTGTAAAACCATACCCACTTAATCAGTCAGTCTGTCTATCACCCGCTCATTCACAGAAAGACATATCTGTAAGCCCAGACATCATTTCCTGACCTTATTTCTGACTATAGGGAGGTCATTAAGACCTGTAGTTGTCAGATTCATCAGTCACAGACTCAGATTGCTTTTATTTATGGAAATAGCAGTAGAATCATATATCACATTTGATGAACTGGATGATATTGGAATCACATTAATGTCGCTATTCATGACAACATTGCAAGATATTACTATTTTGAAGTGAACTGCTTCTAAAATAATTTGAGACAAATGATATTGGCTTGACTTGACATTTTCGGTATAATTTACAGAAACAATAAACAACATATCTGTTTGCATTAACATTTGTCTGACATTTGGATGCTCATTAAAACTCTTTTTAAGTTTCTGGAGTTTTCAATAAAAGCCAAGATGTGGAGTGATGTAACTATCCATTTTCTTTTTTTGAGTTGAGCAGCACAAAACTAAAATCATGATGGTTGAAGCAAAAGGATTAAAATTAAATTGTAGAAATAGCAATTTTGAAAAATTACTTCATAATATGGTAGGGGGTAGCCTAGTGGTTACAGTGTTCTCTTGTCACATTGAAAGCCCAGGTTCGATTCCTGCATGAGTACAATGTGTGAAGCCCATTTCTGGTGTCCCCTGCCTTAATATTGCTGGAATAATGGTAAAACCTGCATAAAAATAAAACTCACTCACTCATGGTTTACAGAATAATCAGATATATGAGCATTGATAGAAATGATAGGAGTGTATCCAAAGAGATAGTTACTTTTTTCATTACAATTTGATTTGCATTTTGTTTATTGTTCAAACATGATAGATACAGTGAATGCAGTTCTGCGGATTCTGTCAGAATTCATACCTAGCAACCTACTCTGGCCATAATGGGTGACTAATTGGGTCAGGTGATTGGTCTCATTGACCTGGTTGCTCACAATATTAACCACTGGTCCAGAATGAAGTTCTCTGGGGAGTATGGGTCAAACCTGACTTTCCAATTATTTCCACTGACCTTGTAGGGCGTGGGTCTAGTGGTTAAACCTGACGGGTTTCCCCACATGGGTACAACTTTCCATTTCTGGTGACCTTGATATTGCTTGAAATTGCTAAGTGCCTGGATTCTGTCAGAATTCATACCTAGCAACCTACTCTGGCCATAATGGGTGACTAATTGGGTCAGGTGATTGGTCTCATTGACCTGGTTGCTCACAATATTAACCACTGGTCCCAGATGAAGTTCTCTGGGGAGTATGGGTCAAACCTGACTTTCCAGTTATTTCCACTGACCTTGTAAAAGTGCCACTGAGTAGAGGGCGGTGGGGTAGCCTAGTGGTTAAAGCGTTCGCTCGTAACGCCGAAGGCCCGGGTTCGAATCCCCACATGGGTACAACTTGTGAAGCCCATTTCTGGTGTCCCCGCCGTGATATTTCTGGATATTGTGTAAAACCATTCTCAGCCAGTCAGCCACTGAGTAGCATTGCTGGATATTAGGCGCTCAACAAGTGCATTACTTTTATTATTTTTATTGTTATTGGTCAGAAGACATGACTAAATCAGTTGCATCAGACTTTATCTGGTGTCACGATATGGCTGAAAAATGGCGATGTGACTTAAAATCTTAATTCACTCACTCACTTATCTGGTGATTAGTCTCAGTGACTTGGCTGCTTTCACGTCTTCGTACCCCGATGGCCCGGATCATTGCTAACTATATCAATTATTAGATTGTTTGGTCCAGACATAATTAGTTATGGAGAATTCAGTTATGTAGGGACTATGGTTTAGGAATGCTTCTTAATTAGCGACCCATGAAGGTCTAGGTTAGAATGGACCTTCAGTAACCCGTGCTTGTCGTAAGAGGCGACTAACGGGATCAGGTGGTCAGGTTGACACTGGCATGGTTGACACATCATTGGTTCCCAATTGCACGCAGGTCAAGAAGACGTGACTGAATCAAGTGGATCTGGATCAACCAATCAGTTTCGGCTTTCATGTCTTTGTAAGATTGCTAACAATATCTATCATAGGATTGTCTGGTCCAGATTCATTCAAATACATTCCGCCATCTTGCAGATGTTTTATTTCTGGCACGTGCTCAAGAGAAAAAGTACTTGTGTAAAAAATGATGAGGGCAACACAATAAACAGAAGATACTCTATATGTGCCCTGTCCAAAGTTCATCCTTCTGATTGCTTTGGTTTTATGTGAATATGTCAACACCAGTTTCATGAAGTTAGATAAAAAGAGATCCTCTTCTTTAAAATTACTATGATTCTCTGCCTTTTCAAGTCACTGAACAAATATAATTACTCTTTGACACAAAACATATCTTTGTTGGATATCAGCTATGGCTTTGTAGGGCATTGTCTATGGCTTCTGACCTTTATTTGTTTTTTTTTCCCCTAAACATTTCTCAGAATTAAAGTAAAGGTTTCATATCCTTCTCTTACAAACTACTGAAGTGATATATATGCTTTGAGGTTTCTGAATGGTGCCAAGCCTTGCTTCTAATGGTAGTCATACCTTAGTGCTCAAAGTTAATCTGAATTTGACCACTGCCTCACTGTCTATAAAACTATGCATCACAAGAATATCTTATCGGGTAAATCTCCTTTACAGCCATTTGAATTATTTTCAGTGGTCAAGGTCATCCTGTAGGTCATGGCCGAAGATGTTTGTTTAAATGAGAACTCAAATAGGATGACTAACTTTTAATGCTTGGAAATTATTCGTTCAAGACTTCTTCAAGACTAGACAAACATTGCGGTAATGGTATGAAGATTTAGATTCTGTGGGTACGATGTACTACATTCACAGTTATCTCTTTGCAGTATTTGGCTGAGATAGTGAAGATGTCGGAGATTGAGCCACATGTACGACTAACTCAAGTTGGAGGTAAGCCCTACAGACAGTTTAAACATTTTTACATGCTTGTCAACTTTGAACCTAATTCCCAGAGAAATGGCAGTGTTTTGAAACTAAGTCTGTTATTAATGTTAAACATGTACCTCAGCTTATCTTAGCTTACATCCTTCCAACGTTGATCTGACAGTTCTGATGTAACTGAAATATTGGTCAAAGTGACATTGCACGCAACATTTAGTCACTTGCTGAATGCTGATTTAAAACCTGCTTCACGCCAGTTGCTGATGTTCATAACAGACATAAAAAAATTGTGTTTGAACTCACTGTTCCAATGTAATTAAAATTTTGAAATAGTTTTGAAAATCCGGGTTAGAATTGGTCTTCAGAAACCAATGCTTGTTGTAAGAGGCGACTAACGGGATCGGGTGGTCAGACTCCATGACTTGGTTCACAAATGTCATCATATCCAAATTGCGTAGTTCGATGTTCATGATGTTAGTCACAGGATTGTCTGGTTCAGACTTTATTATTTATAGACCGCCGCCATATAGATGAAATATTGCTGAGTGCGGTGATAAACTAAACAACAATCAATCAATAAATCAATCAATTTATTTAATTAATTTATTTTTAGGTGGTGTTGCCAGACCAATCACTCTGAATTACCTCCCTTGCCAGCTTCAACCTCTGAGGTTCTGAGTGAAGTTACTCCATCAGATGCATCACTGTCTTCATGATGCATCATCTGGATCAGGTGCATCTCTCCATACACCCAAGTCATGATCAGTTTCCAATGCTGGCTTTGATGCATTTAAAGGGAGTGAACTCTTGTGCGAAGCATTCCTTGTATGGCAACATCGTCTGACTCAGGGACTTGTTTAGTGCAATATGGACTGGGTATAGAGTGGATCCCTTCTCTCATACAGGGCAGGAGTTAGCCCTGTGGGTTGCTTGTCACATAGTCTTGGTTTGAATCCCAGAATGGGTTCAAATAGGACAAAAATCCTTTGTATCCTGAAGAAAACATACTGTGATAAATATTGTATTGTGATTTCAGTGTTTATGCTTTAGTGAACAACAAAAATGATCATGATAAGCATTCCTTGAAGATGTGCAAGCTAAGATGCAGCTATCTGAGCAGACTCTTGGGAATCAAACCTGTGTTCATCATCCAAGAGACAGAATATTGTGTAAGGACTGTGTATGAACAGTACAGAAGAAGTAAGGCATTACTGACCCTGACAGCTAAGGTGCTGGAACTTACTGCCCAAAGGCCAGATCAAATATGGAATGCTTCGATCATTTCCATCAAAAGGCCACAAAATGACACCAGTCTAAATAAACTGACCTGGAGACAATTTGGATCAAACTCATGGTGGTGCTTTGCAGGACGTTACAGCAGAACACATGTAGAACATAGGTAATTTAGTATTGAGGGTTTACGGGTCACGACATCTGACTTGTGTAAGGGACTGGGAAGGGGACTTGTCTTAGGATTGTATCATATTGGACTCCCTTCTTCCTCAATTTTGTTACACCTTTCCATTTTTCATGAACACAAAAAGCTGCAGATGTCGTCATCTTATCAGGACATGGTCATTTATCAATGTGCTTGGCAATCAAATACTGTGTTATCACTTGAATTAATTGATAATTGATTACACCATTCAAGTGATCCACAAGTTTGGTTTATTTGGCTGTTTTTATCACTATTTCAGCAAAATTTAACATCACTGGCCATGGAGCTTCACACTTTGTACCCATGTATGAAATAGAACTCAGACTGTTGGCAAGACAAGTAAATGCTTTATCCACTAGACTACCCCAATGCTTTGAAAGTATTGTCTGCTATGTCTTGCAATAACAAGGCAATTAGGAATGTACAGAGACAGATATATATATACATACTTAAGAACAATTGTTGACGTGGTAAGGGAATGTCTTTTTGTCTCATTGATAGAATGTTATTGATTTATTATAGATTGTGCCATTAGTGATGATGTTATCAACGATTATATGTCTATTTTGATGATGTCTTCAGGTGACTTTACTCAGGTCACAAGAGGGTAATATCAGTATAAAGATCCTTAACTTGTCAATGAAATGTAGGTATCTATGTTTAGTGGCAAAAGGATGGTTTATGTTGTTTACGTCGATACTTCACTATGCTATACATAGTTGTCATACAAATAACGATGAAAATGATTGGATGGATGGATGGATGGATGGATGGGTGGGTGGATGGATGGATGGGTGGGTGGGTGGATGGATGGATGGGTGGGTGGATGGATGGATGGATGGGTGGATGGATGGATGGTGTTTGGATGGATGTATGGGTGGGTGGGTGGATGTATGGGTGGGTGGATGGACTGATGAACGGATGGATAGATGGATGGATGGATGTTGTGCATACACCTTGTATGTATTTATTTTGTGTGTTTTTTGTATGAACATCCTGTATGTAAGTACATGTAGTTGATATTCACATCACAGCAGCCTCCATTAGGCAATCCATGGAATTTGAATTTAACATGAGCAAAATCCCAAGAATATGGCACCTTCATTAAAAATGAGAAATCATGAGCTGCATGTATATTAGTGTATTTAAAAACACTTCACAGGAAAGGCAAAACCATTTTCCTGCTAATGGACTGTGACAAGGATTACATCCACATGTTAAAACATACCATTATCTTGTATCTGTCAGTGGTGATTCCGCCATATCTGCATAGATACAGAAAATATGATCAGTTTGGACATTAAAGAAATATTTAATATTCATTTTGGGGTCAACATTTACAATTCTTGTTATTTTAGGGTAAATGACTAATCTCTGGGGATCAGATTTATTTCTTATGGACATTTTGTTTACTTTGTTAAAGAAGTTTGTTTGAAGCAATGCTTCTGATTTTGGACTGTCATTTTTAATGTGTTCCTCTTGATGCCATTCTCAACTCCCCAGGGAGTATCCAACAAAAGGTTACAACCAATGACTAATGCATTAACTAATGAATGTTGATATATGTTGTATCAAAAGACACAAGGCAGAATTCCATTGTCGCCCAAACCGTTCAAGCTTTATCCCTTTGTAGCCATTAGTAAGCTGTTTCCTGTGTCTTGTTTTAGTTGGTTTGGAATAATTAATAACAAGATAAACCACTGTACTTAAAGATGTTATGCTCAAATAGTCTTTATGAACGGGGTTTTGTATACACAACATGTTACAGTAGAGCTTCAGTAATGATGATGCATGCAAGGGAGACAACTGAGGAAGATGTTTTAATGGGTCAGTACAAAGTGGAACATCAATTCCTGAAATATTAATTATTAAGCCCCAGTTCCACATTAAATTCTTAACATACTGTGTTAAATTTTGAATTCCTTTCAAAATAAACATGATCACTTTTTTTCAATGTAACACAGTCAGAAATGACAAGTCATCCATTTCAGTATGATAAAATACCATATCCATATACATATATATATATGTTTAGGGCTACAGTTACTTATCCTATCGAACACTGTTGAACAATTTTGGACATTTTCTCTTGTGTTCCTTCAGTGTTTATGTTTATTAGTTATTCTGTACTAAAGACTGAAGACAGAAGTTATTAGGTTTGGCTCACGAAAAGGGATTCCCCCAAGGGTTGTGTTAAGTCATTTCTGATCCCCAGGATATTGCTGAATAGTGCTAAAGTAAAAAAACTTCACTGTCACATTGCAATACCAGAGAACCTTACAGCCAATCACAAGAAAGGTATGAAATATATTTAAAGGTTATATGTTCCTGTCGCCAAAGGACAGCACAACAACTAGTACATCACGTTTTGTTTAAAACTAGTTAGGGAGCTTATAAAATAGTAAACTGTTAAGTGACAAGACAATATAAACATGGGCTAGAGATCGCCAACAACTGAAGGTAGCTCACCATACTAGGGACCATGGGGACTTACAGTGCCTTTGCTACCTGCATGGACCCTTGCTGGATTTACACCATCCCTTCAGCAGCTGGCGAGTGCAGGAAAATTTAGCCAAAATTAAAATCACAAAAATACTATGTTTTAAAAATGTTGGTAAGTTTAAATGTACTTTGAAAGTTTTGGGACTTACGTACCCTCTCAGGAGGACAATAATTTTACAATACTTAACCCCCTTTGAGGATACAGCCACTAACAATCTCAGTTGATAATTTAAACTACCATTTATTAAATACCACTTATCTATCTTCAGAACATATTATTCAAAATTTATCTAGTAATTCTATTTCGTTTAAAAAACAATTATTAAATGAAAATTAACATTATTAAAAAGATAGATAATTAAGTGTTTTGACATTGAAATATTTATCCCTTGTGATGTGATCACCCAGGAACCTATGCTTGATGTAATGTCATTTTAATGGCACCTTACATTGTTCATAGTATCAATCAGTGTGTGCCAGTCCCAGCCTGAAGTATTTACCAGTTTCCCTTACAAAGCTGCAGTATTGATAAAATTGGGGCTTTACAACAAACTTTACTATACAAATATATATGATGTCATTATGTTCCCAACATCATCATAATAATAATCCAAATTTCACCTTTAAAACATTCCAGATTTTAGCGTGATTTTGCCAAGACACATGTTATTATACCTAGTATATACATGTACAGAGTAATTCTAAATATCCTGGCATGGCTTATTTCTAAACAGTTAATATGGCATCGCTGATATTTTAAGGGCTTCATAATTGTATGTGATGTCTTTCACAACAGAATTCAGATACATTCCCAACACAAAAGAAAACATTTGATGAAAGCATTACTACTACTACCTACTCTGTAAGATTCAAACGCACTCATTTGAGATCATCCTTATTTAAATGCTTAGATTGGTTGGGTACTTTTGTGGTCTTTCAGGCATGTTTTGGTGCACAGGTCTCAACATGATTCTTAATGCAGGTCAACAATAAAACTGAGTTTTAAAGTTTGGGGTAGTTCGATTCCCCAAATGGGCAAAATTTGTGAAGCCCATTTCTGGTGTTCCCCGCCGTGATATTGCTGGAATATTGCTAAAAGCGGCGTAAAATCAAACTCACTCACTCACTTAATTCAGGTCAACAATAAAACTGAGTTTTGAAGTTTGAAAGGAATCTAAAAACCATATTTTGTCAGATTGTCCACTCTTCCTTTTGATCATATGTGCGATGTGGCGGTGTAGCCTAGTGGTTAAAGCTTTCGTTCGTCACGCTGAAGACCCGGGTTCGATTCCCCACATGGGCATACAATGTGAAGTCCATTTCTGGTGTTCTGGTGTTCCCACCATGATATTGCTGGAATATTGCTAAAAGTGGTGTAGAACCATACTCACTCACTCACTCATGACAAGATGAAATGAAAACAGAATGTTGTGACAGGCGACACAACTCTTATGAACATTGACAGACCGAAGATATGCTATGTCAATTCGGTGCTTTGATGACGTCACACCTGTCAAAACCTATAACAAAACAATTCACAATCGAAAAGGCTGTCCGAAGAAAGGTTCCATTACAAAATATATACTCAGTGATGTAACGCTTACCTTTGTATATTTTCAGTCTAGTCTAGCATGTATATATTGTTCCCACAGTGGGATATTGTATGTATTTCATACAGTGGGGCCAAACAGCATTGTCAGATTCCAATATACAGTGTTTGTCATATGTGCCAGTGATGAGGATTAGGTGGATAATGGACTGTTGATTGGTGCTCTTGCTTTCATCCACCAGTTTGCATGACTATAAGTATATAGGAGTTAGGGATGCCACGATACATCGATGCATCAATACTTTTTACTTGCAATTGTATCATGTTTTTTGATGTTATGAGAGTTATAAATGATTATTATGCAGAAAGATAGGAAAGAACTTTTAATTTCTGAGAATAAAAAATGTTGATCTTCTCATGGACAATCATATAAAGTGAAATATTAATGTTCAAAATGTAACTAAATTTACACAATAATTCCGCAGATATACATAAACCTGGTATAGTAGGTGTGAATTGTGGCAGTGTCTGTGACATGCCCATGCTAGTGGTATCCCCCAAAGTGATAAATATCAGAGACTTACATCAACTACGGTTTTCCTCCAACATTAAGCTGACATGATATATTTCGATATATCTGATGTACTGTTAAAGCTATTTTGAAACCAAGTCACCCACTCCATAATGATATAGAGGAATAATTCAGCTTCAGCCCACGTCACCAATCACTTCAACAGAATGACAATGTGAAAACCTTGAAAAGGTCACAGCAAATTCTATGTAACTGATATTAGTTTTTTGTTTTCAAAAACACCTGTTTTGTAAACAAGTTCATCATATATCTGTAGTTAATGTTTTTCAGGTTAATTTTCCTGTGACTTTATCACATATTTATTTAAAATATCAAATATGTCTAACATGGTCTAAACTATTAGAGTTAAACCTTTTCCACAACATAAATTGCAATAAGGGCATTTATCATGACAAAGACTGCTTCAGTTGCTCTTAGATTAATTTCACCTATTTGTAATACTAGTTTGGGGCGGTGGGGTAGCCTAGTGGTTAAAGCGTTGGCTCATCACGCCGAAGACCCAGGTTCGATTGCCCACATGGGCACAATGTGTTAAGCCCATTTCTGGTGTCCCTAGCCGTGATATTGCTGGAATATTGCTAAAAGCGGCGTAAAACTAAACTCAGTCAGTCAGTCAGTGTAATACTAGTTTAAGCAATCCAAGTTTCATTGCAAGTTTTCTGAATTCATGTATTGATAAGTTTGAAGTTTGAAAATTTACACCTGAGGATCATGATGTTAATTTTTATATATAAATGTCAAGATGTCTTGACAGACAGCCATGGTAAGTGATGGTTATTTAAGCCTTATAGAGTATTATTGATACTTGTCTGTTAGAAAATTTGTACGAAGCCAATTTATCAAATTCAAAATAGAATCATATTGAATTTCATTCCAGCTTACATCAGACAATATCAGTTGTCTGATGTTGCAATGTACTCTACAGAGTTGCTTTCTTTGGGCAAGACAGAAAAAAATCATTGTCTGTTTTGCCCAGTGTGGGAGACCTGGAGGGGTAGCCTGGTGGTCACAGCGTTCTCCATAGACATGGGTTCGAATTCCCCATAATGCGTGAGGCCCATTTCTGGTGTCACCAAATGTGATTTTGTTGGAATATTGCTAAAACCAGAGTAAAATCATGCTCACCTATTTCTACTTGTAGCTGATGTGCAGCAATACACCTGGTATACTCCTCAAGGCAGCGATAAGACCAGCTCAGTTAGTTGAAATATATCATTGACAGTGTTGTAATATCATACATAAGGAAAACAATGAAAGTAGTGGGTGAGTGAGTTGGGTTTTATGCTGCTTTTAGCATTATTCCAGCAATATCACAGCTGGGAACACCAGAAATGGGCTTCAAACATTGTACCCATGTGGGGAATCGAACCCGGATCTTCAGCAAACACTTAAACCACTAGCTTACCTGACTGATCTCAACTGAGTAGTATTTAAAGGAGAAACTACAGTAACATTGTCTTGTTTCAGTGTGATTATAAATTATACAAGATGCATACTGTGGTGTTCTTTGGTTGTGCAGTCCACCATGATTCCAAATCACAGACATTCCCTTCACCTAAGCAGTATTGAATTTGTTTTCATAATCTGTACCAACATTCTACAAAATGTATTGACATTTTCTCATCATTATGACTGAATTGGTTCCTGACCCTAGTGCTGGGGGAGTGGATTCCCAGATGTTTAAGGCCACAAATTTGTTGCAGAGTTGCTTCCCTTTGGTGTCTTAGAAACCAATCTTAATGGTGTTGAATCACGGTTTGCAGTGATCTTGTGTCTTATATGGTCAGCTTGAGTTGTCGTGTTGATGTGTCTGAAATACCATTTGTTTGGGTTTTTTCTTTGAAAGGTGTAAAGGTAAATCATAAAGAATGACACCCTGTATCATGGAATGACACCCTGTATCGTGGAATGACACCCTGTATCGTGGAATGACACCCTGTATCGTGGAATGACACCCTGTATCGTGGAATGACACCCTGTATCATGGAATGACACCCTGTATCGTGGAATGACACCCAGTATCGTGGAATGACACCCTGTATCGTGGAATGACACCCTGTATCGTGGAATGACACCCTGTATCGTGGAATGACACCCAGTATCGTGGAATGACACCCTGTATCGTGGAATGACACCCTGTATCGTGGAATGACACCCTGTATCGTGGAATGACACCCTGTATCGTGGAATGACACCCAGTATCATGGAATGACACCCTATATCGTGGAATGACACCCTGTATAAATGACACCTTGTATGACATCACCTGTGAAGATCCGTGTTAGAACTGGTCTTCAGCAACCCATGCTTGTCACAAGAGGCGACTAACGGGATTGGATGGTTGTATCCCAATTGCGTATAATGATTGTCATGATGTTGATGACTTGATAGTCTGGTCCAGACTTGATTGTTTCCATACGGCAAGCAGATAGTTGGAATATAGCTGAGTGCGGCATTAAACAACAAACAAACAAACCTAGTATCACAGGATGACACCTCTACCTGGACACCTTGTATCACAGGATGACACCTTGTATCACGTTATGACACCCTGTATCATTGAATGAAACCTCAGCACAACAGGACACTGACACTGACAACTGCTAACCTGCAAAAATTGTTTCACATTCCTGACACTTGCTGTGTGAGCATAAAGGTCCAGAATGTGTACTGTTGCTTTTCAAATTTCCACTGCTTGAAGTCCTTTTTGTGCCAAATATTCTGTTCTTACGTCAGCTTTGATTTTGATGTTAAGCAATGTATTGATGCATATGGGCAGACATGAAATAAAGGAAATATTTTCAAGAGCGTTTCCCTTACTTTCTGTTTACAACGGAGTGAGGATTTAGAAGCTATGTAGTGGCCACTACGTCTTTTGCATGAAAAGTTGGCACCCGTTTCCATCCATACCTAAACTGAACTGGTACCTTGTGCCTGTAACTGATGATGATGCAACGTTTCCCGGCACCCATAAGTATGCTTCGGGTTTTGCCAAATTGATTCTGGCATGACAAGCATCAAGTCAGTCCTTTTTTGACCTCAAGACATAACTGAAATATTGTTGAGAGCTGTCTTCATCCCTGCTCACTCAGGCACCAAGATGTATTCTAACCATATGCAGAGTGTATAGGATGTATTCTAACCATATGCAGAGTGTATAGGACGTATTCTAACCATATGCAGAGTGTATAGGATGTATTCTAACCATATGCAGAGTGTATAGGACGTATTCTAACCATATGCAGAGTGTATAGGACGTATTCTAACCATATGCAGAGTGTATAGGATGTATTCTAACCATATGCAGAGTGTATAGGACGTATTCTAACCATATGCAGAGTGTATAGGACGTATTCTAACCATATACAGAGTGTATAGGATGTATTCTAACCATATGCAGAGTGTATAGGACGTATTCTAACCATATGCAGAGTGTATAGGACGTATTCTAACCATATGCAGAGTGTATAGGATGTATTCTAACCATATGTAGCGTGTATAGGACGTATTCTAACCATATGCAGAGTGTATAGGACGTATTCTAACCATATGCAGAGTGTATAGGATGTATTCTAACCATATGCAGAGTGTATAGGACGTATTCTAACCATATGCAGAGTGTATAGGACGTATTCTAACCATATGCAGAGTGTATAGGATGTATTCTAACCATATGCAGAGTGTATAGGACGTATTCTAACCATATGCAGAGTGTATAGGATGTATTCTAACCATATGTAGAGTGTATAGGACGTATTCTAACCATATGCAGAGTGTATAGGACGTATTCTAACCATATACAGAGTGTATAGGATGTATTCTAACCATATGCAGAGTGTATAGGACGTATTCTAACCATATGCAGAGTGTATAGGACGTATTCTAACCATATACAGAGTGTATAGGATGTATTCTCACCATATGCAGAGTGTATAGGACGTATTCTAACCATATGCAGAGTGTATAGGACGTATTCTAACCATATGCAGAGTGTATAGGATGTATTCTAACCATATGTAGAGTGTATAGGACGTATTCTAACCATATGCAGAGTGTATAGGACGTATTCTAACCATCAGCAGAGAGTATAGGACGTATTCTAACCATATGCAGAGTGTATAGGACGTATTCTAACCATATGCAGAGTGTATAGGACGTATTCTAACCATATGCAGAGTGTATAGGACGTATTCTTACCATATGCAGAGTGTATAGGACGTATTCTAACCATATGCAGAGTGTATAGGACGTATTCTAACCATATGCAGAGTGTATAGGACGTATTCTAACCATATGCAGAGCGTATAGGACGTATTCTAACCATATGCAGAGTGTATAGGACGTATTCTAACCATATGCAGAGCGTATATGACGTATTCTAACCATACACAGAGTGTATAGGACGTATTCTAACCATATGCAGAGTGTATAGGACGTATTCTAACCATATGCAGAGTGTATAGGACGTATTCTAACCATATGCAGAGTGTATAGGACGTATTCTAACCATATGCAGAGTGTATAGGACGTATTCTAACCATATGCAGAGCGTATAGGACGTATTCTAACCATATGCAGAGTCTATAGGACGTATTCTAACCATATGCAGAGCGTATAGGACGTATTCTAACCATATGCAGAGTGTATAGGACGTATTCTAACCATATGCAGAGCGTATATGACGTATTCTAACCATACACAGAGTGTATAGGACTTATTCTAAGCATCAGCAGAGAGTATAGGACGTATTCTAACAATAAGCAGAGTGTAAGGACGTATTTTAACCATAAGCAGAGTGCATAAGTCGTATTCTAACCATATGCAGAGTGCATAGGACGTATTGTAACCATAAGCAGAGTGTATAGGACGTATTCTAACCATAAGCAGAGTGTATAGGACGTATTCTAACCATAAGCAGAGAGCACATGACGTATTCTAACCATAAGCAGAGTGTATAGGACGTATGCAATCAACAGAAGTGTCTTTAGGAGTGAGTGAGTTTAGTTTTACGCCGCACTCGGCTATATTCCAGCTATGTGGCGGCGGTCTGTAAATAATCGAGTCTGGAACAGACAATCCAGTGATCAACAACCCGAGCATCGATCTGCGCAATTGGGAACCGATGACATGTGTAAACCAAGTAAGCGAGCCTGACCACCCGTCTTTAGGTCGTACTATCAGCAGATAGTGATTACAAGACGAATGAACTACATTTTTAACCTTCATTCTCAAAACACAAGGGAAGTGCCAGCGAACCTATGTTGCTAAAGGCTACATACATTAAATGAGATCGAAATGATAGGGAAAAGAACCTAGCGATTCTGTGAATTGCCACATAAGTAAACACATTCATTAAGTGACTTGATGATGGAAATTGTCTCTCTTAGTACCTGATTGAACGGTAACGTTGATTGTAGGAGTCAGTGGAATTGGCCTATGTGGGTACAAATTGCCCATCGGATAGTCAAATAATCGCGTGACATTTCCCACAAGCCTGAAGCACTACCTGTGAGTTAAAGGACGCTCTCTGAGTAGACTCACGTCGTTACCAGTCTACCAAATCACCGATGTGAAAGGGAATAACACTATTTCAAATAGGGTGGAAAGCTGAGGCAGTGAAAAGTGCATTTCACTTACAATCGTGAGATTATATTGGATTGTTCAGTTGGAAGATGTCAGTAGGTGCATACGATGTTTACTGATTTCTTGTTCATGGTCCTTGTCATGTTCTTGTGTAATCAGAAATCAGGCATGCCTTGTGGTGTCCGATGCTACCAAGCAATTAAATTACCGTTAGTAAGGCTATGACGGGTTTTGCTTTGATTTAGTTTGAAACTGTCATCAGCATACGACATTTATATAGCGCACATATCCAGGCAACTAGTGCTTGCTCAAGGCGCTGGTATTTTTTCCCTTGATCATTGGATGTCAATCTCAACGGCACATCGTGTTATCTATCTCAACTCCCTGGGGAGTATGCAACTCTTGCAGCCACTAGGCGTACTAGTTATTGTGGCTTCTCATCCTAACGAGGTACCCATTCACAGCTGGGTGGACTGGGACACATAGTCACAGTACTTCGTCCAAGTTCACTGCACGTTGCTGTACCCGCAACTAGGTGTTTGCACGTATTCATGTGGCCTCCATCTGGACATATACCAACGGATTCGTGGGTTCTTTGAAGTGCACAGGGTTGTGTACTGTACACTAGGGGTTGTGACAACACTGAAAGAGTCTGCACACAAAGTTGACTGGGCTCGATCCCGACACTTCATACTCGCTGGATCACAAACTGTTTGACAATATTTGCTGTTTGGTAAAGTTTATTTTGTCCTTCAGTATTTATGATCATTACCGCGCCAGTGCATAGCTGTTCCAAGCAGTGTTAAACGTAACCCACAGCAGCGATATTACGGACTCTCAAAGAGGCAGCCAAACTAACGGATCATAACGAAAACTTCCTTTGTTTGTATATTAGTCCGATTTGTCTTGAAATACCACAGATGGCGAGCTGCCCAGATTGAACTGTCTCTGAATCCTATGAGCTTTGTTCAATACCTTGGTGTTCAAGTCGCGTAGACAGTGGTTATATGTTATCGGAAATCGGATTACAAGATTTCACTGTTTGACATAAACCTTTGTCAGCAAAAAGCAAAGACGATTACGAGTCTGTTTTGCTGGCATCTATCTATTATTATCACTTTCTCCAACTAGTCTTAAATCACAAAGTTCTGTTCAAAATTCAAAAAGTTTTGATGAATACAACAAAAATTGATATTCTATTCCAATTACCAGTATTAATTCTTGGGCAAACATTTTCCTCGGGATATTAGAGGAAATTTGTTAATGAAATTTGTTAAGAAGGATGTGTATTTTGTTTCAAATGGCTGGATCTTGGAGAAATGGAATTAGATGATGAATGTATCATGATGAGCGCAGTCAGGTTGTTTAAACAATGGCAGTGATTGCCAATGACAGATGTAGCTTCTATCTAATGGATGTGTCTCTTTGACCATGACTGATGCTAAATGGTTCTCAAATAATCTCAGGAAGAGCAAGTATAAGGCAGAGGTGAACAAATGAGCCTTGGAAATACGTATTTGGAGAGACTAAAACATAAGCCATATACAAAGTACATTATTTAAAGCATAATTCAGCAAATTACAGGGCCTAGATTTTCGAAGCTCTCTTAGCGCTAAGATAGTCGTAAGTGCCATTCATTAACATTAACTTACGACTATCTTAGCGTTAAGAGAGCTTCGAAAATCTAGGACCAGGTATGACCACTCTTTATATCAGTAATTGGACGTGCATGGCCACTCTGTAAAAGTGACCAATTTCTAAAACCCTAGGAATTTAATATTTTAAATTTGTTAACAGTGTCTTGTTTAACGAAGCAAGTAGTTTCATTTTGATCTAACCCAGCGTACGTTTGTGCTCTTTACTCTCGAACGTGATTCTCCATACATTGTACGTCAGATCTTTAATGCTTTTATGAATTTCAACTTCCCTTTTCGTTGTAAAATACTTTTAAAGTACCTCTCGTTCTTGCATTCAGTGATTGGTGCATGTTAAAAAAGAAGAGCTGTGTACATGAGTGACTGAGTTTAGTTCCACACCGTATATTATCGATTCTTGACCAGACAATCCAGTGATTGACATCATGACCATCCACCAAAGTATATGTAACTGGGATACGCCACGATCGATGAAGACAGCGAACCTGACCTCCCGATCACGAGAGACTCCACTTACGTCAAGCATTGATTGCTGAGAACCAACTCAAACCCGGATTTTCACTGGTG